TATAGGGCGGTATATCAATTCAATAAATAATAATAATGTCCTCACTATGAATAGAATTCTCTGAAAATCTCAATGTGGAGCTTGTCCGCATGGTTTTTTTCCCTTCCTAATTCCCATATTGCTCCTTGGTGAGAAGCAAGTTCTTATCTTACCATTTCTGCTAAAAATACAAATTATCACATATTATATGCATTATTATACACACATATACACTTCCAAGTTTCTTAAACCAACACATAAGCAGATGCACACAGCAATGTATATAGCTGTATAAAAGTACCTATCAAACTATGCTGTAGACATATAGTACCTCATGGGACTTGCGTCTTTCCCACATATGCATATAATGTATGTATATTTGCATCTAATTCTGCACCTAATTTGGCTTTCTTTCTTTCTTTTTTACAAAGAAAGCCTGGCAATGTGTGAGTGGCTTGAACATAAATGGGCACTCATTGCAAGAGACATCACAATGTGTTGAAAGCTTGATTGCATCAAAACTTCCATAATAGTTAGTGAAGAATTCATGCCTTTCTGAGATGTGCCTGGATGTGGTAGAATTCCTGCTGGTACCGAAGCCCAACAGGATCATTGGACTGCTTGCATCGTTTTTATTGAACTAGGGTCCCCTGATTTTAGTGAGATGCTGCTTTGTCAAGTATTTCCTTCTGCCAAGCCTTAGGCTGATCACACTGGTTCTGTGGAAGTAAAGTAACATGGGTTTAACTGGGAATCGCGAATTAGGAAAACATCTCTCACAGCAGTCGATCAGCAACAATAGAGAGAAATGGCAGACAGAAAATAAAAGACAGGCAGCCAAAATTCAAAACTTTTTTGAAAAGGTTGTAGATTCAAAATGGGTACACTAGGAAAGACACCATGTCAGTAATCAGTTCTAGAAAGAATATGTCAGTTAACTAATATTTTAGCTACAATTATGGAAGTTTCATATTGAGTCTAACTTGGATCTTATTGAGTCTAACTTGGATCTTATGGTTGTATTCAACTAACTTTTACCCAGAGTAGACCCACTGAAAGTAAGGGAATTAAGTTAGCCAAGGCCATTAATTTTGTTGGGTAAGAGTTGGTGTATGGACTTGTGAGCCAGTGGGAAAGAGACTGAAGTGGTGTGTGTGTGTGTGTGTGTGTGTGTGTGTGTGTGTAAATAAAACAGCTCAGATACTGGACAGTTTTTGATTGGGATTAAAGTTGGTGCTGTTTTCTATTTGGTCACTAGGTGTGGCAGGAGGTAAATATATAATGTACTGCCATGTGATTTCTGTTGTGCAGCCCTTATGAGTTTCATAAATTCTGTGTGATGAGCATTGTATCCTTTCCCCTGGGGCACTCTATGCTTCTATTGAAATGAATTATATATGCAGACATTTAGATTTTATTTTCCTCTGACTCTGTCTGGCTTGTTTAATTAAGCTGCCTGATTAAAATTTATTCTAATTTAAGACCAATAAGAAACAAATTGTGTAATCAGCAAGAAAATGTAATGACACACAACAGAACTCAGAAATTATCTGACTCAACTAGTTTCAATTTTCCTTGAACTAGTCTAGTTTGAATATTCTGTAAAAATTCTATTTATATTGCCTGTGTTGTACTTAATCTATTCCAAAGACGTATTTTACAAATCATTTTTTTGCTCATAATTTTACATGCTCCACTGCCTCAGATGAACAAGCTCTGTGAATTGTGTTTTTCTCACAAAGCTTACAAGTTCTGTGAGAGCCCCAGTAGAGGCTTAAGACATCACTAAGTATTGATGTTTCTGTCGCAGGATTTACAAAGTATTCCAACTATCCCAGAAGTGTTTGCAATTACCATGAATCTTGCAACCTATAATAATCTATATCTATTTCTCTCACAGAGTTTATCAGCTCTGAAAACTGTTCTCGCGTATTGTGTACATTCTATGAACCATTAACCCCTAAGGTTAAAAACTTGTCAAAGCTTTCACTTTTTACACAGCACTCCTAACTTTCATTAAAGTATTTTAAATTATACCTGCATAATCTTATCTCTGAAGCTCAGTATAATGTTGTTTAAGCCAATTAATAGCTCTCAGACCTCAGTCTCTGTGATACTTCTGAAGAAAAGGGAGATCAGGATTACGTGGTGGCCTTTGGTACAAATGAGGACTCCACACCCTCTAAGGCAGCCAGACACCACTTTCTCAGTGCCCTTGTATTAGCTCTGATTCCTCTGTCTTGCTTGTCTGTGAAGTCCCTCATCCATTACAACAATCAAGAATGTAGCTTTTTCTCTATGGTTGTCACACTGGTTTTCTTTCTCACTTTATTGCAGTGTTCTCCTTCCTTGTGTTCTGTTGTCTCTATTGCAATATTAATATTACACAGCTTGAAGCGATAGGATGCCTACAAACTGACTCCTCTTGGAATAAAAATTTCCCAGACCCATAAATATTATTCAGAAGCTTTACATACAGAACTTGGTTCAAAACAGAACATAAACCAATTAATGACATTCAAACAGTTGTATAATATCAGGCACATGTCCAGCACAGGTTTCATCATCTTACATAACTGAAATAATTCCAAACAGACCTAAAATCAGGTCTGTGACTCTCCACACAGACTCCATTAGCTTGGAGCTGTTTTTCTCTTCAGGAGAGAGATCATTAGCACTTCCTTTGTTCTCTGTGGCTTCCAAAGAAAGGCTCAAAGCGATGGCGATTTGCAGTTGAATACCTCACATAAGCACCAAGTGAGAGCTAGCAGAGAACATTCTAAGTTAACTATCAACCCATTTACGCTTAGAGAGCTCTTCCTAGCTTCAATATATTCCTGAGTGGAATTTTCCATGTTAAACCCTCAGTAGTTCACATTCAAACACATACAGAGCATATTCAATTTCAGTGTCAATTAAACAATTATACTTAACAGTCTCATCTTGGTTCCTTCATCTTGTTCCAACTTTCTGCTACCAAATTTTCACCTTTCATTACTAAGATGATTCAAAACTCAACCATCCATTAAACTTTTGGAATAGCCTTTTAATTCCTGTGTCCTGCTGTAACTAAAGCTTTTTTTGTTGTGAGTATCCACATGCTCCTATCTTCACTCTTAGCCATGGTTTGGCTTGTCAATAAATGCAAATAAATACAAAACAAAAATCTGCCCTCTTGGCCTCCTGAAATATAATGCTAGTGGCATCATCATATTGAAATTCCTTATCCAGATAATTTTCTCCTAATTTTTAATCAGTGCAAAGTAGGGGGATTTTTTCTTTGTCGGGGAAGGGAGCTTAGCTCAGGATTTCCAAAGCTAACACCAGTATTTAGACCACTTAGGGGGGAAAAACACCATTCATAGTAACTGTAATACAGATGAGTTGACTTGGCTTTTCCCCTTTTCACGGACAAATAATTCACTTAAAAATAAAATAAAAAATCCTGCCCACATCCTTAGAAATGTCAAGTTTTATATGTGTGCTGTTATTTAGCTACCAAATAACTTATCAGCAACCTTCAGTTTGTCAGGGATCTTAATTGAGAAAAGTCAACTGCAGAGTGAAATGTTTACCAGGCCCTCTTTGAAGCCCTTAATAAGTTACATTTTGCTCTGCCAGGCCTTCAGCATTTCACCATTACAATAAGAGAAAGCAATCAAAGTATTTCAACTTTTTTTAAAAAAACTTCTGTTTATCTGTTCAAATCATCCTAAATAATCTCGCCTCTTTTTGCCAAAGTAAATACTGTTTTTATAGGCAAATAAAATATACAAGAAGTAAATTGTTCAAGTTCAGTTTCTCAGTTTTACATTCATAAAACTGTGTGCCATGCTGAGTTTGATAGATAAAATACCTTTGTTTTTCTGTCAAAAGGCAGTTTCTGCTAGTATTCTGGATTTCCCTGCGAGGGAGATTATTCTGTTAGCAAGTTAATTTATATTTTGTGTCATTGATCCCTGTTACAGCGGCATAGCTAGCCGTACAGGCGCCCAGGGGGCAAGGCATGCTGGGACAGGACGCTCTGTGTGGAGCCAGAGCCTGCATGAAGTCTGCTCCTCCCACTGCTCCCCCTCAGTTGCAGGCACCATGCCATCCGAAAAGGCAGCGTGGGGCTCGCGTCCACCCGCCGTCTCCCCCTCAGCCACCCTTCAGTTGAGGGGGAGGCGGCAGGTGGGCGAGGGCCCTACACCGTCTTTTTGAAAAGCACAGTGCCTGCAGGAGTTCACCTGCCATCTCCTCCTCAGCCACAGGGTGGCTGAGGTGGCAGGCGGACATGAGCCCCATACCACCTTTTTGGGCGGCACAGTGCCTGCAAATGTCTGAACCACTGCATCACTCCCAGGAGAGATGCGTGGCTCAGGCACACAGCAGGCACCACTGTAAGTGCTGTCCTTGCAGTAAGCGGTCGCACCCTGCCCCTCCTAGCTACGCTAGTGTCCTGCATTTATTAACTAAATGTGAGCATACACAATGTATATTTGTATTCCTTTTGTCATATACTTGCTCGAGTTCTGGACTCCTTCACACTGACCACAGTCGGGCATGTCTGTCTGGTACCTCTTTGAGGTCCCCAGATTTGTCACCTGTCACCTCACGCTCTGATTGCGTAGTCTAGTCCCTGGGGGATTTCTTCTGTAACAAAGAAAACTGTCGAGGCCCCTAGTTGCTGTTCTTCACCTTCTGCTCTTCATCAGTTGCATCCTATACATTTCTAGAGTCCTTACAGATGTGGGTGGATGAAAGGAGATTTTCCTCATACCCTTACTTACCGCCCAGATTAGGACTGCAGCTGTCATATTTTTTAAAAGGCCTGTTGTGTCACAGCAAGATTTCTTGGCTAGTACCATAATTCCCTGGGAAACTATGGTTAACATGCTTGCTGCATGTGTGGATCAACAGGTCACAATATTGTTTAGAATATTACCAAGAAGAATTAAATTCAGTTTAAATTTATTTAATTGAATGCCTATATATTTTGGAGGGTTGTAATGAAATGTGTATCTTTTTTTATCCTTTAGGCTCTAGTAAATGATATCCAGACAATCCAGCCCAGTTTGAATAGTGTTAATGAGATTGGGAAGAAAATGAAGAACGAAGCAGAGCCAGAGTTTTCTTTGAAAATACAAGCTGAACTAAAAGAACTGAATGCTCAGTGGGATCACATTTGCCAACAGGTACTCCATCTCTTGCTATCTTCTTTTACTTTAATTCCAGATTTCTCTTTGACATAATTTCCCCTGCTCTGTGTGCATAACTACTGAATGTGAGAGGTGGAGCCAGACATTTGTGGTTCACACTAATTAACCTTCTATCTTAGTAAATTTATCTACCATGTCAAAATGTAGGCAGGAAAGATAGATTTGAGTGCTAAAGTCTGACAATAATATAATGTATTATAATTGCAAATAGAGAGCTTGACATAAGCTGGAGCAAATAAATAAAATCCAGCAAGGTATGACACCTAATAAATAGTTTTATCTTCAATGGCTTTTGCTTTACTCAAAGTATTTTGTAGCATTCCTATCAAAAAAATAAGGAGCGATAAAGCAGCATTATGATTCTGAGTTAAACCGCTTGCAACGGAACATTATAACATCTGTCAGTAACAAGCTTCTGTCTGTTATAAACTTCAAATGCCACAAGTTAGACACAGAGAGCAGAAAAGCAATTGTACTGAAAAAAGGCAAACGTAATGAAATTTTCACCATGTCATTTTTCAAGACAGAAGGCTGTAAGACCTTATATTACTAAATTAGAAAGAGAAAATTTCAGTAGAAAGAAGAAAGAGTGAACTTCATTTCGGATTACTTACCATATAAGATGATGCATGCTTCACGTTTTTTTTACAGTAACACTTTGCCTACTTGGTAACTTCTTGGCATCTATTGGCACCATTTGGGAAACAAGATTTTGACTCCAAGAGCAGAAACCCCATTAACTTGATGCTTCCAGTATTAGGAGGAGAGGGGATATTAATCAAATCTGCACTGGAGGTTGGGGGGAACCTCAAAAACAAAATGAGAGGTGGTGTAGAGGCTGGAGGAAAAAAATAGTGAAAATTACCTCTCCCTCTCCCTTTTCTCCAGCAGTAGTCTATCTGGATCCACATTCCCCCAATGAACAAAAGGAGCCCCTTCATTCACAAGTGGGAAAGTCTAGATTCAACCCTTCTTTAAAATCTGTCTTCCTTAAAATTGAATCTTGTTATGCTAGGCATTTACTTTAATATTCAATTAATGTCTGAACTAGTGTTTACAAGAGGAAATCATGTTGTTTTCTTTAAGGCCTATGCTAAGAAGGCAGCGCTGAAAAGTGGTTTGGATAAGACTGTGAGTCTTCGAAAGGATTTATCAGAGATGCATGAGTGGATTACACAAGCAGAAGAAGAGTACCTTGAGAGAGATTTTGAATATAAAACACCAGATGAATTACAGAAAGCTGTTGAGGAACTGAAGGTAACAAAATACAGAGTGACTTGTTTAATTTGTATCTGATCTTCTTCTTGAAGTTATTGTTACACACAATCTGTTTGTTCATTTGAAAGAGCTGGCTATTTGAGCTTCACTTGAGAACTATTAAATTCGAAGCAATAGGTGGTTTAAAGTAATTTCACTTCAATTTAGCATCTGTTATAAGTTTTTTGACTCATCAAAGAATTGCATTTCTATAAGTTCCCTTCCCCCATGCTTAATTGGATTTAGTGTTGCATTTGTATATGTCCTTATTGTTTGTGGGTACTCACATCAAATTCTGCACCTGTTCTCATATGCTTCCTTTCTCTTTTCTATGATAATTGCATCAGATGGTATATAATTCTTGGGCTATTATTCCTCTGAATGTAACTTCTCCCAGATGGAATTCAGAAATTGTAGGCACTCATAAATGGGAATAAGAAGGTTGCATTCAGCAACAATTTGTGCTTTCATTTTGCTTTCCCACAACATATAGAACAAGTGACAAGTCCCTGCTATGCTAACTTATCCCTATAAATTAGAGATGTTACTTAGGAAAATGTTCCCATTGAATATAGATTCATTTCATTCCTTGACTATATTGCAGGCTTTCTCAGTTTTATCTGATATGGATATTAATGCATATTGGCAATAGTACAGCCAGAGATGTTTGGCACCTTCATTTAGTGCCATTTTAGATATTGGCAATGTGGGGACTTGTTTCCTTGTCTAGCTCTTTAAACCAGAAGCAAGGACAGCAATAGCTGTAATAAGAGGAATAGCACTGTATTTTGCAATATTTCCTACAAGCTTTACATGGGGTCACTGCAGCAGCACTACAAGTTGCCTTGTAAAGATTCAGGCACCCATGTCAAGGAAAGCCTGCTATGTAGCTGAGGTAAGGCCACAGAAAGATGCACACAGTATGCATGATATGTGATTATATTACTTAAGACAGCAAAGCAAAATGAAAACTCAAAACTATACACCCCATATCAAGTACACCTGAGAATGCAAGAACGTGCCATTTCTACAGTGGCTCCATGTTTGTAGGATGCTCTCCCCAGGAAGGCTTGGCTGGCAGCTTCATTATACACCTTTAGGCACCAGGCAGAAACATTTCTCTTCAACCAGGCCTTGGGCTGATTAACCCCAGAGCAGTAGCCACTACCAAATAACGAGGACAGTGAGAACTAGAGCATGCCAGATCTTGAATAGGTGGGGAGGAAGTGGAGGGGGTCTTAATTCTTGCCTTGAAAATATGAGCCTCTACAACAGGCATAGGCAAACTCGGCACTCCAGATGTTTTGGGACTACAGCTCCCATCACCCCTAGCTAACAGGACCAGTGGTCAGGGATGATGGGAGTTGTAGTCCCAAAACATCTGGAGGGTCGAGTTTGCCTATGTCTGCTCTACAACATGAATACGGAGCAGTGAAATTTGAGCGGATCATCTTTTTAACTACTGCTTTGTGGCATGGAAAATCAGGCAAATTACATTATGTTCTTTTCAAATAATGCAGTGTTTTTACCCCAGTATTCACTGCTTTATTTCCAGGTATTATAATGGATTATTATACATTTATGTATTTTCAGAGAGCAAAAGAAGAGGCAACACAGAAAGATGTGAAAGTGAGGCTTCTCACAGAGTCAGTGAACAATTTTATAGCAAGGGCTCCACCTGCAGCTCATGAGGCCTTAAAAAAGGAACTTGATGTTCTAACTAGGAACTACCAGCGACTCTGCAGCAGGCTAAATGGAAAGTGCAAAACGTTGGAGGTCAGTTCCTTCTCCTGGTAACATTAGAGCATTCCAAAGTGTAACAGAAAAGATATCAGCTAATGGACAGTTGTCGTGAATCAATGTTTACCCTCATAAGTCTTTAATATAGCCTACTGCAAGCTGGTGCCCTCCAGCTGTTTTAGACTACTATTCTCATCAACCCCAGCCAGCATGGTTTCCATGTTTATCTTAATCAGAATTGAATTATTTTTTTGTTTATTACTAAGTGGATTAAAATATATCCTAAAAATTATGCCACTTTCCTAGGATTATTAAATATATTCCCGTAAATTCATGGTACAGTTTAAAAAAACCCATTATTTTGTTCTTTCTTACTACTTTAATATACAGTCATACCTTGGGTTGAAGTAGTTTCGGGATAAGTATTTTCGGGTTGCGTGCTGCAGCGACCCGGAAGTAACGGAGTCGCCGCTCGCGCATGCGCAGACGGTCAAAATGACGTCACATGCTTGAGCAGAAGCGGCGAATCGTGACCCGCGCAGACACGGGTTGCGTTCGCTTCTGGTCTCCAGTACGGATCCCGTTCGCATCCAGAGGTACCACTGTAGAATTTTGAAATGACCTGATTTTATTTACTTTTTTGTGGCATTTATATAGGTAACCCAATAACACATGTCCTGGTAAAACAGCATAAGTTATAGGTCGTTTTATTTGCAAAAAAAAAAAATGTTTTTAAAAAATTCAAGCATTTCTGTATTAAAATTCATTTCTTTTTAAAAACTCATTCATCAGGAGGTGTGGGCATGTTGGCGTGAATTATTGTTATACTTGGATGTTGAAAACAAATGGTTGAATGAGGTAGAATCAAAACTCAGGGCAACAGAAAATATTCAAGAAGGCACAGAAGAGATCTCAGAAGCACTAGATGTAAGTACTGACGTTCTGGTTAGGAACACGCAGACCTTTCCAATAAAAAGTTTCTATGTTAAATCAAAGTGTAATATTCTTCAATGTGTGCTGTGATCTATGCACCCATATGTATATTTCCCACGAATTGTGTTCCATTAGATTTTCAATTATTATTATCATTGCTATGTACTAAAGGAAGATATTAGCACACAGGGTTCAGATAGGCCACAGCGTTCTTAGAGTGGAATTGGAGCTGTCAAAAAGAATAATGTAGTCTTCTCAACAAAAACAAAGATGTTTAATTCAAATGCTTTATAAACTTATGCTTTGTCTGGTGCCTGTGAAGCCAGCTTCACATGCCCTCCCAAATAACTTATACAGACATCCACATCTCTATATAAGCAAATCCAGTGGCAATTACTTCCAAGCAATCTTGGGTAGGATTGCAGGTTTTTGTACTCTACAATTAGATCCTTACATTTATCACATTTCCCTCGTTTTGCTGCAGAGATGTCTGACAGACCCAAGGTTTTAATAAAAGCCTTAAAAAGTCTTTTTCAAAGGTCCCAGAATCACTCCAGTTATTAAAAAACATTGACAATTATTGTTTTAAAAAATGAAGGAGTAGCATCACAAATTCAATAGTTTCTAGTTACCTAATTTGGTTGGTTGTGCTGATGGAGAATTCAGCAAGGTAGCATACTTTATAGCCACACTGTTTATTATGTTGATGTGGTATCTTAGCCTTTGTTAATGTTTGCCTAGACACATTTCTGATAATTTGTGCCAGAAAATGTTGCAGTGATGAGCTTTATTTTTCTCATGAATACTCTTCTATTTTAATGGAAATGTAAGGTTTATTGCTTCTTTTATTTTAACAAGAGCTTTGAAGGCTCCTTTTTTGGTGGAAAGGAATGGCAAAAACAAGTAATACAGTTTATTGATGTTTCAGTCTCTGGGAACATTAATGCAACACCCAGAAGATAACCGCAATCAGATCCGTGAGTTGGCACAGACCTTAACTGATGGTGGAGTTCTGGATGAATTGATCAATGAAAAACTGGAGAAGTTCAATACTCGGTGGGAAGAGCTACAACAAGAGGTACATTTTAAGAAATAATTTCCTTCCCCCATACTTTTCTCTTAAACACTGTGTTTAACAGGAGAGCTGAAAGGTAAAGTTACCTGTCTTATAAAATACTGTGTTGTAAAGATGCGGACAACAGTGTCGACGCAAGAAGAAACCAACAAAAGTTGTGACAGCTTTGGAAGGGAGCGATTAACAGATGCAGCTCTCTGTATATGTTTTTTGTGTCTTTTTATATGTGTATAAGAAGGTCTACCTGGTATAAATTTTTCTAGGAAATCTACATACATGTCTTCTTCTTTGGCAATCACTCATAGCCGAGTAAGATTGTCTTCCATAAACACGGTTTTAACAATGAGTCAGTAAGTGACTGTGGAGACCAATTCTGGACCCACACCCAAAGCTCTTAGAGTAGGCAAGAAAGACACTTTCCGGTTTAAGAGTGAGTGGTCAGTTCCTTTAAATTTGGCAGCCCCGTTTCACGATGAAGATGGGGCAGAATGGAAGTAGAGCATAGCTTAGATGTAAACCTGATGTATCCCCAGTGGCGGGGTGGCTGGTCCCATTTTGGCACCTGTGCTGAAACGGGAATTGCCACATCCTGCCTCCCCCCCGCCACCATTTCTGCCACTGGGGCGTTCTGCAAAGCATAGCTGCTTCGCTTCTCTGCCTGGGAGCAGGTAAGATGAGTGGCAGTGCTACATGCTAGAATGCCTCCCTCTTGTCTGTGAGAGGGAAGGCCTTCAGCTGGCAGCAGGAGCAGTGGGAGGACAGAGCTCTGCCTCTTGCACTTCTGCCTCCTTAAGGTGGGTGCTTCACCCTGCCTCATGGGCATGCCAACTCTGCCCCATAGGACTTTATATAATTTAAATGGGCCTTAAAGACTCGATCTGTGTTGTATAAATAGTGCTGTATATATATAGGTGTACATTGGTTTGTAAACCATGTTGGGATGAATATATCTTGAAAAGTCTGTAAGTTTGTTTTAAATTAAATAAATGGAAATAAATTCAATAAATATAAAACAAAAGAAATGGAACATTAACATGAAAACAAATGGAAAAACAAACTACTTTCCCTTGTGAACCTCACTTTAGAAGGCAGCAAAATTTATTTGGAATAAAAACAAAACAAAAGAGGAATCCTAAAACCCAATGCACTATAAGATGTCTAACAAAATAAATCAGCAGTTTAAGAACACTTGAAGAACCAGCACGGACTAAGAAAAAATAATACTTTCTTAGCTAGCATTTCAATATACCTGCTTACTGCCCTTGACTGCCCCCTCCCCCCGCCCAAGGAAATATTGGCTGCACACAGCACTGCTGTAAAGGTAGGCAACAGCAAACAAGGGGATAGCAGAAGGGGGGGGCAAAGAAAGCATGGGATAGAAAGGTTTTTATACCCATTTTCTGCCAGGTTGCACAGGAAGCAACCATGCAATAGTTCTTTGACAACCTGAGCTGTGAATTGTTATGTTCAGGGGGTGGGGGTTGGAATGTAAGGAGGCTGACCTCAAAGGTAGTGAATGTGGAAAGATAAATATTTGTAATTTTCAGGCAGGTCACAGAAGACTTAAATGAGAACATCAAATTCCCAAGAGCCAAAGCACCAAGTTTAATTTACTAATCTTTCCCCTTATTTCTGAACACCCAAATCCCTCCAGTTCCACATAACCCTCCTAATAATCAGTTAGCATAACACAGGACATTGATAAACCCTCTTCACAATTCTTACCCCCAAAGGCTCTCCTCTCTGATGCCAGCTAACAATCCACATGATCGCTCTCTGTGTTAATTAGCATTAACAAAGGAGTTGGCCAACTCCTGACACTTGTGCGACTGCTGCATGCTTTTGTGACCAGTGTGTTGCCTCATGGTGGATAAAGCTGGCAGGAGGAATCAAAAACAGTGGTAATTAAATATTCTCCCTTTGAAAAAACACCCTCATTATTATAACACCCTCATTAAAATGTAAAATTATTATGTGTGTGTGTGTGTGTGTGTGTGTGTGTGTGTGTGTATTCATTGAGTCATATATCCTTTTTCTGTGGTTTATTGATTGGAAGGTTTCAAAGAAACTAGATAGGCTTTTTAAAAGCATTATTAGTACCATATACAGTGTGCATGTATGACAGAACATTTGAAGTGGCTGAGGTAATCCTGTCCTGTTTCCCAGGATATAAGAAAGATATAAAAGTGAGCTTTCATAACACCATTACCACCGAAATCCATGTTTGTTTTACAACGCGCACAGAAATTTGTTCCTATGTGTGTGAAGACATATTCACTACATTCCATTATGAACCGTCACAGGAAAAGAAATGATGAAGGACATTCAGCTGTTCCCTGTTGGTGAATGCTTTTATAAAATAGTTTTTTTTCATAACATTACTTTCGAGTCCTTGACCTCAAGGTTACACTCCATATGGCCTTGGAAATATAACTGGTAACTCTGATGTGTAGTGTGACTTGACCTCCAGGTTTATTGAGTGAATAGAAATGTTAGGTTTATAGCCTATTAAAAGAATGAATAATGCAGAGTCAATGCAGATAAAACTAAATTATGAGAAGGCAGAATATGAAAGAAGGTGAAAAACTAAGCTGAAAATCGCATGTGTCATCATCTTAAACTATTAAGTATGAAAAGAGGGGCAAAGGGAAATGTAAAACCAAAGAAGGTCTTAGTAACCATATTGCGGGGTTTCGCTAATGTCATAGGGCAGGCTTAAAGTAATGTAACTTGCTATAGTAGTAATAGGAACAGTCTGACTCTGGCTTTCCCCAGTTTTTGTAACATTTTGCTGAATGCTGTACCATTAAGAAATATTGTAATAAGGGGAGGAGTGAACCATAAAGAGTCAAGACCAAACTTAAGAGTTCTAATCATTCCTGGGAGTACTACCATTTAATCCAGGCTCTAAGAAACTATTTATATCCTATGTGAGAGTTTGTTTTATAAACAGCACTTTCATCCCTCTCACTTGTTGCAGTGGATTATCTGTAAGTGGACTATGATGACGGCAACTTTGTTCTGACCAAAGGAAATCTCCTGACATATATAATGAGATCAGGAGCTGCCCGAGGCTTCAGAATGAACAAAACTATCTAATGGCAGGACTTAGTTTTGCAGTCTTCTACTCACTATAGAATTCCTCACTATTTGGTTTGGTTATTTAGGGAATTTTGACTTTTTGTGGTTATTTATTTAAAAAACAAAATGGCTGGCAAAAAAAGACGAAATTTATCTTACAAAAAGGTGGTTGTGTATCAGTATGAAATTTCTGTGTGTTTTTAACAGCATTAAAGAAAAATTGAATGGCTAATACTCTTTTCCCTTTATTTTTCAGGCTGTGAGGAGACAAAAGGTTCTTGAACAAAGTATCCACTCTGCACAAGAGATTGACAAAACCCTTCAGTTAATTCAAGAGTCTCTTGCTTTCATTGATCGACAGTTAACTGGTTATATTGCCGACAGAATTGATGCAGCACAAGTACCTCAAGAAGCACAGGTGAGTCTTGTGGACTTTAGTTTAAATAGCTTTATCATTCAAGTGGTCAGTATGATTCCTTTAATTTGGTTGGCTTTTTCCTCAGAGATGATGATTTCTAGAATTTTCAGCCGCTGGGGTTAGGAAGCATAATTTGCAACCCATTTATTGCAAAACTACTTACTGGAATACAGATGTGCATAATAATATCATCTTTAAAAGGTCACATTTATTTTGCAGCAAATTCATGTTTTTAGGTTTATTTTATCTGTCCTTATGCTGACATAAAATTATTATATGACCCTAATATAAACTCATTAAATGTTTGTGAAGGTTGTGCTGTAACCTTGAAGGAACAACATGAATACTGTAACCCCCTATAGTGCTATTTTTATCATGCTATAAATGACTCATCATCTTTACTACTTTTAGTTAACTTCTTAGTAAAGCAGATTAGATATCCCATAAATAGTTATTGAGTTATGCAATCATTGATACTGGATAGTTACATGCTTGTAGAATCCTATATAGTCTACTCAGAAGTAATCCCCATTGAATTCAGTGCGATTTACTCCCAGGAAACTGTATAGGATTGGAGCCATAATCTCATATAAAATGAAATAAATTAAAGAATATCGCCACATCCTTCATTCCTTAGCTTTGTGTCTGTCAACTTTTGCTTCACATTTTAAGAACATTTCTGAAGTACGTAACTTTCATTAATTGTATTTGTAAGAAAGGATACATTAGCCAAAATGAAACACAGATTTCTGGAATTGGGTGGAATATATTAGAAGAATTTTAAGATTAATGCACAGTTTATATTTTGAATTTAAAAAACCCTTCCCTTATGTGAAAATGCTGGCTTTCAGACATCAATAATGATTGTACTGCAAAACATAATTTGTTGTGATTTTCAAGGAAGTCTTACAAAGACTTTGATAAGCAGATGTGACCAAGTTAATAAATCTGTACTAGTTCAATCCCATTATTTTCCTCAAACAACTATATTCTTCACTTTTTAAAAAATAATCTCCTAAGGATGCATCAATGATCATTTGAACAAGTCCCTAATATTTCCTGGGCTCCATAACGACTATACTATTGATTAGGATAAATTCAGGGTTTTTTTTGCTAAAGATTTATGTTGACAGTGGGTTCTATTGTTTCCTGTTGAACATCATATTCACCTAGAGGCTATGGTTTGAAGTGCAGTCATCATAAAATACATAAAATACAATCTCTATCTTCCTTTATTACTTAAAATACCTTTCAGTTTATCTGAAGAAACAAAATAATAAATTGGGTAAGGGGAAGTAAAACCAGCCACATGAAACCACTTTAAATCCCTTGAAAACTGCAGATACTATAGAAGCAGTCTTAATATTTTATGTGGGCTAATTCTTAAGGTTAAGCAATCTTATGGCAGAGAACAGAAGTATGTGACCAAAAGTGATTTTTCTAATTATAGAAAAGGAGTCATAACTTGGTAATGAAATAAAATATATTGCCAACTTGAAATCAAGATGACGTGGAAGGCAATGGATATGACAGGCATAAAGATAAAACCTTAGGTTTGATTTAATAACTAGTCAACTACAGTATTGGGAAAATACAAATCTGCCATGTACCAAGACAGCTTAGCTCAACATTGTCTGCACTGACTGGCAATGCAACCATCTTTACCACCTTTTTGTCTGCAATGCATGTGCTCTACCTGGACCGTGCTCTAAATTAAAAAAAAAATCAATTAACTTTATATACATTAATTGGTGAACCATTTTCAATATGTTTGTGTCCTTCCCCCCCCCAGAAGCATAATGTCAAATTTTATTAATTCTCTTTACATTTTGTAAATGCAGTACAGCCATAATAGCAATAAAATAGTGCCTCTCTGTCTCCTCTTCTCTATAGCATGTTAGATAGTTTGCATCTTTCCTTATCAGCAGCCTTATTATGCATACATAAAATATTCTACTGGGTGGGTTATTCCATACCATTTGTGGGCTTTCTTTGTCCATCTCTGATAAACCAACTGTGCTTGTGTTTAATCACAGTAGCTAGACTTGTCCAATTTCTAGAAGCTTTATTTTATTTTGAACATACATGAAAGTATGTGTGTGTACTAATAATTCATATGCATCTGATTAACTGACTGATTGGAAACTTTATAATACTTTATTATACAATGTCAAGTATGAATTGTCAACCGGCAATCGCATGGGCTAAATCTGCCTCCTGAAGTGTGCACCCCCCTCTTTCCATTACAAACCCTGTTAATTTCTCCTAGGGTTGACTGAAAAGGGTGCAAGGAGGAGACTTTTCTTCCTTCTATTTTTCTAACCCCATGCCCACCCCTTTTATCTTCTATTTCCCATTTTGGTAATGGACAAGAGTGAAAGCAGAGGAAGAGTCACATAGAGGCTTTATTTCACTATATTCCACCCCCTTTTAAGCATGTTGAGTAGAAGACCAAGAATTTATCTATGTGTCTATATGCCAGAATGTGTCCACCTAGACAATAGATCTCTAGAGTGTTAATGCTGCACCTTCAGGCGAGGCAACCCATTTTAAATGAGACACCAGGCACATGGAGCACTGCATGGGTAGGTTTTTCTTACATGCCCAGCTTCATGTTTAAATCAAACCTTTGACTCTACCCTGCCCCATCACCCCAAGATCAAGGTGGAGAAGAAAGGGACATGCAAAAGAGACTGTTGTCTTCTATGTGAACTCCTTGGTGTATCTGTCCTCTCCTTCCATAAATATCTCAATAAATAATGTTGGGCAGAGTGTGCTGCAAGATTGGGAGTGTCCCCATGTGCTTGTCATACTCCTCTCCGCATTCATGTTAACTGCTGGTGGATAAAGTCGCCTACACAGTAAATGAGAGTATGAGGAAAAAGCCAAATTGCATACAGTTTCTTGCTTTTACCACATCTGTTCATTTTCAGTTAACAAAAATACTATTTGTAACATTAATGGAATTACAGACTTTATGTTCTTGGACAGAAGATATATCCAGCTTTAGCCTTGTACTTCTAGGGAATAGAGAGAGAGAGTGAATTGCTGATTTGATTAAAATGTGGTCTAGATAAAACCTTCTGACAGATTTTCCTCCCACATTTTGCAGTAATGGTCCCTAATATTCATCTTGATGAAAAAGAAAGCTGCCAGATATTTCCTGGTATAGCTGTTCTCTCTGGTAATTGTTTAGCAGTTCATCCACTACCAGATATTCATTTCCAACAATTTCCCCATAAATTGGTTTGAATTGGTCTAAATTAGCTCATCTCAGTGTGTAAGATATGAATTGTTTTGTGTGACATTGCATTGGTCAGTAATGTGCAAGGCATTTGGTTTCTTATGAGCCTACTCTATCATGAGGTGTAAAGGGTTGAAATTTGCATTGGAGTAATTTCACCAATTGCTGGTTCTTGTTGGAAATAACAGACAAAAATACTTGATGGAAAAATCACTGAGATTATTACATTTCATATACTTGCTTCAGAGTTGTGTTGTGTATTTATCATGCTTTTTAAAAAACCTATTTTTAAAAAACCAATTATTCTACTATAAACCCCCCTTTTTGTTCACATTTAATTGTTTCTATAGTTATATTTAGTTTTCATAGGGATGAGAATTGTAACCCTGATGAAGAAGCCTTTAGTATGTATCTACAATGCAATTTAATTGTTATAGAACAAAGTTATACTTTTTTGTTTTATGTCCAAGTGGGCATAAGAGATACTATCATTTTAAAGCAATAAGAAGAATATACCAAGTAGAGCACAAGACAGTGTCACAATCTTAGTAATTTCATATGATTTATTCCAGAGCCTGGATCTTATATATTTCCCTGTCAAAATAATCTACTTTGATTTTAAACACATCTTTTTTTCCGCCAAACAGAAAATTCAATCAGAGTTGACAAGCCATGAGATTAGTTTGGATGAAATGAAAAAACGGAATCGGGGTAAGGATGCCACCAAAAGGATATTCTCCCAAATCGATACTGCACAGGTTTGTAAAATTGGCTTTCTTTTATATACTTAGTTCGAATCCCTTCTTTAAAATACACAAAACTAAATAAGCAATCATTGATTACATGTGAAACAGCTATACTTTCTATCCACAGGGTGGTGGTGGGTTTTTTGGGTGGGGGGAGAAAGTCCTGCTTGCTTAGCTTATAACATTATTATTTGATTTACAATGAGACCAAGGAAAAACCAGCATCTAAATAAAAACGTGTAGGGTTGAAGTGCCTTGATTCAGGGAATTCAGAACGGATGCTTTTGTTAATGCAAAATACACATTTTTGAAAAACCTCCTCTTGTTATTTTCATCTTCACAAATACCCTTCTGCCACAAAAATAAATTCTTTGGTCATATTTTTTTTAGCTGTGAGGCCAGATCAGCAATCCCAAGAGAGTTTTAAACTTGCTGTTTGCTTGAAGAGCACGCCTGATGGCAAACATTTTTTGAAGTAGACAGTGATTTTAAAGAGCAGGTTCTAAAAAGGCATGGCAGTCAGATGTTTCAAAAATAAGAATATAAGAAGATCCTGCTGGATCAGACTCATCTAGTCCACCATCCTGTTTTCTCTGTGGCAATTGAGTTGCCCGTGGGAAACCTGCAAGCAGGACCTGAACATAACAGCAAACCCCCCCCCCCCGCCCCCATTTTCCAGCAAATGGTATTCAGAAGCATTACTGCCTCTGACTGTGGAGGCAAAGCATAGCTATAACGCCTAGTGGCCATTAGTAGCCTTATCCTCCATGAATTAGTCCAATTCACTTTTAAAGCTACCCAGTTAGTGGTCACCACTGTCTCCTGTGGGAGGGAGTTCCAAAGTTTAACTATGCACAGCATGGAACATTTCACAGACCTTGTGCAAGCCAGCTGATTCACCATGAGCATTTTTATATTTACTCCAACCTTCAGGTCTGGGGAAAAAGAAAACTAACAGAACCATACTTTTATGGATTGCCACATTAACTTTTCAATTTTTTTGCCAGTGGTTAAAGGTGATAACTCATATTTACTATTTTGGTTCTTATCTGCTCTGTCAAGCTTACTGTAATGTAGTGCAGTGGGTGGCGACTCCTGTTAAAAAGAAAAAAATGCTATTCATGTGCATCTTACCATTGGATTCTTTATTTCCAAAATGGATGCACTGTGCATAAATAACTTACATTGCCTAACAACAACAACAACAACAACAACAACAACAACAACAACAATTTTATTTATACCCTGCCCATCTGGTTGGGTTTCCCCAGCCACTCTGGGCTGCTTATTGAAATTGAAATACTTTATTGTCACTTGTACAACTTGTATACAGTGAGATTACACGAGCACCCCCCACTCAGCTCTCTTAGTCTTAATTCCCCTCGTTTACTGACGCACACCCACCACATATAGCACATAAAAAATTATAAAACATTAGACATTTAAAATTTCCCAATACAGGGTTGCCTGAATATGACCTGAAACTAATAATACACTTGCAGACTAAATATTCAAAGGAAATGCAACTCAATATTACAACCTATTTGATCATTTGTGTGAAATGACCTAGCAAGTAGCATTCTTTAAATTCTTGGGAACTTGCTACCAATCCGAAGGAAGCTGCACAGGAGGGCACAGTGTAATTGTTTGCTAAGCTGCCTAGACATGCTTTCAAAAGAAAAATAAAGGGAATATCCAAGTTTCTCTTCAGTATGTAGAAGCAGGACTGCTCTGTCCCTTATTTTAAAAGTCTTCATAAAATCATGACCGTGACTGTATTAGCATAATGACTTAATCTGCATATTTTGCACCCCTCTCCTTTCATCTCATATATTATTTTCAGAAAAAGCTACAAGATGTCTTCATGAAGTTTCGCTTGTTCCAAAAGCCAGCCAATTTTGAGCAGCGCTTACAGGAGTGTAAAATAATTTTAGATGAAGTGAAATCGCAAGTGCCGAAGTTGGAGTTGAGGAGTGTCGAGCAGGAAGCAGTGCAATCCCAGCTTGATCATTGTATGGTGAGTATTTCCAGTGCAATAATAGTTCACATGTAAGGCAACTTATTGGACTATGCCTATTACATTTTGCAAAAATCAGTGTAATTTCAGTGAAATTAAACATTTCCTTTTCTGTGTTGGCTAGAAATTGTATAAAACTCTTAGTGAAGTGAAATCTGAAGTGGAAACAGTCATAAAAACTGGGCGTCAGATTGTGCAAAAACAGCAAACGGAGAACCCAAAAGAACTGGATGAAAGGCTGACAGCTTTGAAATTACAATATAATGATTTGGGTGCCAAGGTATGTTCTATGCTTTTCAGTGCTAAAGTCTGCCTCTCAGTTGTAAAGCGAAATATATCTCTTCCATTTTGTTGTAATTTATTTTATTTTCCTCTCTTAAATTGATTTTATTTGTCTTTCCTTTCTCAGTGAGAAAAAGATTCTATTAACTGACTATTCAGAGCGGCCCAGTTATATATTGAAATAATGTAACTAAACAATATCATTTCAGCTAGGGTTGAGTCTTAAATGAAATTCATTACATCCCTTTGACATAACTGGTAGCTAGATTTTTTTTATTTCTGTCCAAATTTATTTTTCAAATTCAATTGGAAGAAAACGGGGAGCACATTTAGCATTAAATATATGTTAAGCGCAACAGATAATAACAGTGCTTTATTATATACTGTGTAAAGATAGGATAAACATGCATCCTCCAAAAAGATATTTGACTCATATGTGAACCAATATTCTCTTTTTATATTATGTGACATTTCTAAGTGTAGAATTAGATATATGGAGGACCGGCCTTCATATTCAGGATGATGGTTTTCAAGAGAACTTGCAAATACTTGATACTTTCTATTAAAAAATAAGTAAATGCAGGTTTTGCCCCTACGGCCTACAGTCAAGAAAACAGTAGAATAGGAAAATGCAAAATTAATTAGCACATGCCAATGTGAAATATGCCATTTTAAATGAGGATTTTAATGCGACAGTGAAAAGAGCCTTATGGATAGGACAACAAGTGAAAATGAGGAGAGTATGTGTGTAACCTTTGGTTTGCATAGGAGAAAGTTATTGGAGGGTGAAGACAGTATAAGGAAGCATAGGAAGAGGGAATGGTGTGTATTTTCACTTCTGCATCATTTTAAAGCTACTTAATCCTTCCCACTCTGTTAGGTTTTTAGTCTAAAAACAATCACCCTGAAATGCTTTTTCACCTGTGGAAGATGTAGGGAAGATACGAAGAACCTGTGTATGTTTTCCCTTAGGTGAAAAAGCATCCTGGACAGGGTCATTTCAACCTGATAAATGTCTTCAGAAGAAAGCAGCCTTTTACCATCAGCCCTTCCTCCAACCAAATTCTAAACTAATCCTGCTTTAAATAAATAAATAAATCATGTAATGTGTACTTTGATTCAACTGTTATGAGATGAAATGGTAAACGGAGTTAACTGTGTAAAAAAGAAAGACCTTAAGATGGCAGTATTTCCTACATTTCTTTTATAACATGTAAATCGAAAATGGGGAAATAAAGTGATATTACCCATTATAGTGTACATCCAACCATACAATTTTTCTGAAACTCTCCTAGTTGAAATAAGGGGTGGGGAGCAGCTATATATGCTGCACCTGTCATTATTTCTCTAAACTCAACGAAGCACCACTCGTATATAGTTTTGTATGCTCTTTAACTATTTCAAAATTTACATTTCTAGAAATAAACAGTCCCATTAGAATTCAAATGGTCCCTTTGTCCCAAAAGCAAAACAACCAAGATGGACTGTGGCTGCAATCTTATATACTGAATGAAGCACTGAGCTCCATTGAATCCAGCAAACTTACTTCCGAGTGAAATATGCAAGAGGTTGCATTCCTAGTACTATGCAAAAGACACCAGATTTCCCCCTCTAATAAATAGTGTGGAAATGTTAAACTTCAACTATCAACAGCTTTTTTGCATTAACTGTGCATATATGAAAAAGAAAGGGGGAATAAGCTCACTAGTAGTTAAACACATACTGAAAGTTGCATCAAAAGTATTTACATAGTGCACTTCTCCATATCATAAGCCTAAGCCATGGATCAGAAATTCCCAAGGGTGCTAACAACAAGCTACTGAGGCTAAAGGGGAGGCGATTATTTATTTGTCTTTTTGCATTGCTTTAATCTGCTAAATGCAGAGGGCTCTTTTGAACCTATCTCAATCACCTTACCCTCCAAAAAGGGAGATTTGCAACTGTGTGGTAGTTACTAAGTACTTCTAGGTGCAAGGAGGGACTTTTGAGAAGGGGCCTAACCACAACCACCTTCTGAATGGTCAGAAGTACCTGACGCCGTGGACCCACATGGTAACTTCCTCCAGGATAGCTTTTATTAGGTGTGATGGGTAAGGGTCCAAAGCGCAGGTGTTGGGCCTGTGATATCATAGAATCATAGAATAGAATCATAGAGTTGGAATAGACCACAAGGGCCATCGAGTCCAACCCCCTGCCAAGCAGGAAACACCATCAGAGCACTCCTGACATATGGTTGTCAAGCCTCTGCTTAAAGACCTCCAAAGAAGGAGACTCCACCACACTCCTTGGCAGCAAATTCCACTGTCGAACAGCTCTTACTGTCAGGAAGTTCTTCCTAATGTTTAGGTGGAATCTTCTTTCTTGTAGTTTGGATCCATTGCTCCGTGTCCGCTTCTCTGGAGCAGCAGAAAACAACCTTTCTCCCTCCTCTATATGACATTCTTTTATATATTTGAACATGGCTATCATATTACCCCTTAACCTCCTCTTCTCCAGGCTAAACATGCCCAGCTCCCTTAGCCGTTCCTCATAAGGCATTGTTGAACCTGTCGTTCAGTTTATGTGGGTGGAAGCTTTTTTGAAAGGAATGAAAATGGAACTAAGCCATTGTCTCATGTCCAAAGTCTGTTTCGGGTAGCCTAATCCAGCCCGCCGGTCAATTTAATCTGGCCCCCATGGCAGTATATGTCCTGGGGTAAAATCCTAAAAGCTAAACAACTTCAATCCTAAAAAAAAGCCCAACAACTTTGGTCAGCCCTCATGCATGTTCACTTCATCAAATCTGACCCTCTTTGAAAAATGTTTGTGTGCTCCTGACAATGAAGTATGAAGTTAAACTAAAAGAGAATTCAGGTGGGTATGATAATACTGAAGTAGTAACTGCATAGCAAAAAAAATGGTCATTTTCATTATAATTTCTGATAACAAATTGTGTTTGAAGAGTTGCTCCTTTGATTGCTTCTCTTCAGCATTGATTCATCATTCTTGGTGTCTGCTGCAAGATAAGCTCTTCCTTATGCTGTAGCTGGAGCATCATCCATCAGTTGCTTCAGACAACTGGTTATTACTAGGTTTCTGTTGCTCTATCTATTTTTTTGATACTGTTCTTAAGTCTATATTTTTGCACATCACTTAGAGATGTTAAATATTGCAGTTTAAAAATTCCTTTAAAGAAAATAAAATTAAAATTAAAATGAATAAGACAGGAGTTGCAGGTCAAGCTGGATGAAAACAACTTTTATTGAATCAATAAATTCTGAAGGTTGGCATTAAAAGGACATAAAACATGACTGCAGTGTACTTAAATATGCATAAAGAGCACCAAGTTAAAGCATACTTTTAATCTTCATTTTGTTTCTTTTATTGAAGCTAACTTTGCAAATTATAATTAATCTAGCCATTCTGTTTTTGTTTCAGTGTGAAGTAGTTGGTTTGCTATTAAGTAGAATGCTGATCTAGTACTGACAAAAGAATGTAGTCTAAAGTGTAATGAAAAAGGCTAACATTCTGAGGTTTATTCTTGTCATATGTTTGCTATAAAAAAGATTTAGCATTTCTGGGAACTGTAGATGTGAAACAGAGGATAGATGACCTCTACAATCATGGGGACTTGATGGTGGAATCTTTTGACCAGGAGAAAAACTACTGCCAGAAATATGAGCATCCGTCTCAGTAGCACTTAAGGTGGTGAAGCATTTAGAGGTTTGGCTCTTCATTCCCCCTCCCCCTTCTGCAGGTGACTGAAAAAAAGCAAGAGCTAGAGAAATGTTTGAAATTATCTCGGAAACTGAGAAAGGAAATGAATGCTCTGACAGAATGGCTGGCAGTGACAGATTCAGAACTGACAAAGAGATCAGCAGTAGAAGGCATGCCTATCAATTTAGATGCTGAAGTCGCCTGGAGCAAGGTAATAATATATATTTTCTTTCCTTGTAAACTCACATATGTTTGTCTGGAGTTATCTCGCTGTCACAGCAATACTTCTGCACCCCAAAAAAGTTGTAAACAATATGATATATACTGGTGATACACTGAGACAAAAGAAGTTGGTGTCCAAAATTTAACATATTAACCTTATAGTAGGATGCATCAGGTACCACATCATACTCATAAGAGAAAGGAGGAGAGGAATAATTCAAAAGAAAAATAACCCCGCATACCCTTTTCTATAACTTTTTGAAAGATTCCATTTTTTCCAGGCTTAAAAGGAGAACTTAGTACAGTGTTAGTGTATTAGCACCTTCTAAGTGTTGAGACATTAAAAGACTGCAAAGCACTGTTGCCATTTTATGCTAGTTTCTTCATTAACATTTTAAACAGGCCATCTAATTTTTGCCTTAATTTCAAAGATCAGTTTTATTGTAAAGAACTAATGCTAGAAAAATAATTAGGATGTGTTTTATTTTTAATTAGCTACTAATTTTTAATAAAAGGAATATATGACACTTTTTCCCCTTGAGGATGGTCACTGTTCATGTAGTCATTGTTCTTCCTGGATCTGCCTGCAAGAGTAGTAGTCTATATTCCTACCCCTTCCTCACTTTAATTCCTCTTATAAACTTGTAGCTGTATCAACTCTGAGAAGTAATTATAAGTTCCTGCAACAAAGAACTGAACAGTGTTAGTTCAGTATAATCACACAGAGCAACGAAAGTAATATAGGCTTTTCGCAATAGAGGCTACAATTCAGTATCTGTCCATTTAAAGCCACTTTGTGGTTCCCTGGTCATTTGTTTCTACCTCCAAGCTGTGCAATACTTGTCAGGGTTTTGCTGCCACAAAACCGGAGCTTTTAGTGAAGTTCTGCCCCTGCCCCTGTAACATTTGGACAGACTTGTCCCTGTCTTTTTCCATGTCCCAGCAAGCTGTAGCCAAAAATTTGGCATAGTGGCATGAGACATTGATAATATAGGTACAGCCCAGTAAATATTTGTTGCTTTCAACAGCTTTTGCAGTTTTCCAGAAATTATCACTATGATTGCATTCACTGTTTCAGAGAACAATTTCAGATTCTCAAGGAATGGGAACAAGCTTGACAGTCACTGAACATATTTTTTCCAAAAGAAATCAAAGTAATTCTTTGTTAATCATGAACGATACTTCTACCACACTGCAGATGTCATCCCATACGCATTTGTATACATATAAAAGCTAAACTTGTATACTGATTAGATATGTCTACCACAGCTGCAGTTAACATAGGAATGCCTTCCTTTAATTGAATTCCTTTAATAATTAAACACTGACTTTGGTACTCCAGAAGTTCTATAATTAGTGTGCAAGGTTTGCTGATTAGAGCAGTTACGCAGTAGAGTGATTTTGTTATTTCTCACCCTCGCAACCAAAAGGTAGTGCCTATATTACTAAGAAAATCAAGAAGGAAAGGAAAACTTCATTAAAATTTCACACACAGGAGAAATGTGATAATTTGCTATAAAGTACCTGCTAGCCTACCAAAGTACTGTCCGCTCTTTTGCATTTTCATGAGTGGAGCTGATAATTTAGTGATTATAGCAGAAAGCTAATGGCAAGAGAATGTTCCCTTACAGTCCAAGTTAACAAAGCCAGCGGAATTGAATCAGCTAAATCAGACACCCTTAACTTTGTCAGAGTAGGCTTTGCTAAGGCCAGAAAAGTGGGCCTTCCTAAGCCCGATAAACTGAGCTGAATACTCCTGCCTTTAACTGAAGAGAGAGAAACTCCAGGAAATTGGGTTTGAGTGATAAGGAAAAGACCCCATTAAACCAAAATGTTAGTGACAGAGGGCTGCCTTATTATATGAATCAGGAAGGTAGCATAGAGTATCCTGCCCTAACCTCTAAAAAAACCTCAAACCTCTAGACTGAAGAGTTTCAGGAAGGATCTTAACCCTCTCCCAGGACAAGGTTGTCACTCTTTAAACCACTTGGCATGGTACATTTCTCCCAGTGCTCATGTTTCTCCCAGTGCTCATGTGCTCATGTTGTCACTTCTTTCCCCAGTTCTTCTCTTCCCAGTTCTTTCCCCTGTTCTTCTCTTGGGGTCACTTTGAAAGACTGTGTTTCATATTGTGTTGATGAGCTAGAGAATACTTGACTAGCATAAACAATTTGTTCTAGGCTCTTGGGGCTCATATTTCAGTTAAAGAAATATTGGCCCATTCTCAAATTTAGAATAGCAGATGGTACTCTCCAGAAAACCTCTATGCCATTTGCTCCTGTTACCATATTTGAACTGAAAGTGCATTACTGTTACATTCTAGCTCACATTATAAAATAGTAACAAATATCATGTGCAATCATAATACTGAATTGTGTGTTGAGTTATGCTAGAAACACAATTGGTAGTGTTGTCGTCTTTCAATGACACGAATAAAATAAATTAGAAATTGTCATCTTTCATTACTGTTACGGAAAACAGTATAGATGCTTCAAGTTAATAACTGCATGATCCTTTGGCAAGAGGGACATAGTAGCAATTTATATAATGATCCTAAACGATCCTATCTGTGATTATTAAGATATATAGTCACCATCTTTTACAAGGCTTATGTGAGTATTTAGCAGTGTAAAGTTATGTACTCTGTTCATCATCAACTCTGAATGATGAAAGTAACTGCAGTGACTGATACAATTTTATCTTTTGCATCATTTTATTCAGATTTCCAGTGTGCTTGCTGAAAGCACAAACACTGCTTAATTTACCAGCTGCCAGTACTGATAGAGACATCTAGTCCCTGTTGTTGGAAATCGTTTTTTCTTTTGAAGTTTTACCATGGTTCAACAGTGTCCTCCTGTTTAAGAGTGTGAATATTTCATCAGTGCTTTGAAAAGAAGTAATAAAGAAATCTAGAATTAGACTAGAATGTGCAGAGTACACTAAGTGCATTTATACTAAGAAGTGGAACAGGAAATAACACATACTTGTTAGGACTTATTAGGCTCTCTCTTTCACTTCTGTAACAGTTCCTTCTGCCAAACAGAAATCTAACTGCTACTTAAACTTGGGTGTCTGTGGAAAAAATACATGGAAACCCAACATGAGGGATTGCTGTAGGAAAAAAATACCAATAAACTTGTGTGTGCGCGCATGCATGCAGTTTTTCATGGATCCCATGCTGGATTGTGATCAGTGTATATGTAGATATATGATAGTAGTATAAAACAAAATGCAATTCTGGGTAGTGCAATGCAGTGGGGTTTTTTTTTTAATCAAATGTATATTCTAGTCTACTTCTAATGAATTCAGCATGGGTTACATAATTAACCTATTATTTCCTATGAGGTAGACTAGGGTAATTGCCAAAGACCACCCAATAAGCTTTATGGCTGCATGGGACCAACTCAAACTCTCTGTTCAAATCCTACCCTCTAACTCATGGGTAGGCAAACTAAGGCCCGGGGGCCGGATTTAGCCCAATCGCCTTCTAAATCCAGCCCATGGGCGGTCTGGGAATCAGTGTGTTTTTACATGAGTAGAATGTGTCCTTTTATTTAAAATGCATCTCTGGGTTATTTATGGGGCATAGGAATTTGTTCATTCTCCCCCCCCAAAAAAAATATAGTCCGGCCCCCCACAAGGTCTGAGGGATAGTGGACTGGCCCCCTGCTGAAAAAGTTTGTTGACCCCTGCTCTAACTTTTATGCTACATTTGTTCTGTGCACAAACTGCCATGTTGTGAGAGTCTGCAACTTCCTGCTTCAGAATACAGATTTACCGGTACCTAGCTGCTAATGCTTGGATTATTCCAGACTGAATTATTTCCTGGATATGTTCTTATATAGTTAAAAAAAGAGAGTCTACAGATGTACACAATATGTTATTAGTTTCAGTTTGCTTTTCTTCCAAGTCGTGGACATGAATTTTATATCAAACAGTCAAGTAAACACACCCAGAGCTTAATTTTTTGAAACTCCAGGGACCAGTGAGCAAATTCACAGACACCTAAGAGCTTTGGGGAAAATAAGTTGTATAGACCCTGAGCTTGTCTGACCAAGCTCAACAGATCTTCCCAACCCACATTGCTGTTAGCTTTCTCCCTAATCCATGGATTTCCCCAACTATAAATTGGGCTATGTTTGGGGAGTTGTTTAGGGGGGTTGTTTTTGTTGGCTGGCTTGAATTATTTGATTATTATTTTTAAAGCAGGATTTAATCCCATATTACATCGGCTGAGACAATTTGATGTCTACTTAACACTAATAAATAACTCATTTTTTTAAAACAAATTCAAATTGTGAAGAGCTTATCAACGTACTTTTCAGCATAGATATACACACACGTTTAAGAGATATGTCACTGACACCTTTCAAATGGAGCCGGGCAACTTAGCAAGGGAAAATATCAATTCTGTGAATACTTGAAGAAAAAGCAGTGGTATGCCAGAACATTATTTAGATGGAGATTGCTTCTTCTTTGGCTTGTCTTCTGGTACTACTCCAGTGAGGCCTGGGGTTTCTTGCTTTATTTCATCCTCCCTCCTGCCTGCCCAGCATTTCTCTTTTCTTGCTTCAGCTCAGGCCTCTGACTCTTGTAGCTGTTGTTGCTGTTCCCTCTGCACGAAGGGATAAAACAGGGGATTCTATGAATGAATAGAAGAGAGGGAGCGGGTAGAAAAGAGAATGAAGTCAGGCAAAGAACAGTAGCTGGCTGATGCAGCAGCAAAAGGCATGGACATAGCCAGGAAGGGGTCATCCCCTAAATCAAGTAAATAAATAAAAATACTTACCAATCGCTGACCAATCGCACCGCAGATAGCTTGGTTATTCCCCCCCCAACATTGATCCTGCCCCCCCCAAATCCTGGTACACCCATGGCAATAGGAGATAAGGCCAACAAGCAGCAGCTTGCATCCTCCTCCTAAAGTCACAGGAATGTGTATGTTTTTGCAAAGAACTCATAGTGCTCTTTTTCCTTGGGTAAACATCATTGGTAAAGGGAAGGTTCCTGCCCATCCTAAAGTATGAGGTGATCCAAAATGCATAAAGCATGGCACACAGGTATTATGTGAGTTATTGTTTTTGTTTGTTACTATGTTATGTCTTTTTGTAGTTTTATATTGTAAATCGCCCTGTGATCCTTGGATGAAGGCCGGTATAGAAATTTAATAAATAATAATATTGATCAAAAGTAATAAGTTACATATTTATTTCACTTTCAATTTATTATGCACGTCTATATTGAAATATACTAGACCTTTTCCTCTCTGCTTCTAACAATGTTAATATGCAACATATGAGTGTTGGTTCATAATATGTTCTTCCTAACTCTTCTTCCTTATTTAATCATTATGCACATGCTTTTCATAGGCAACCCAGCTAGAAATTGAAAAACGCCAGGTTCAGTTGAAGAACATTACTGATTTGGGAGAAGGGTTGAAGACCATCCTTAAAGGGAAGGAAAGCATAGTGAACGATAAACTCAGCCTTCTGAGTAGTAACTGGATTGCAGTAACGTCTCGAGCTGAAGAGTGGTTTAACTTGTTGCTGGTAAGAATTACATATTGTTACTTTCTGTTCCCAGAAATAGCACTACATAGCTTGTTTGGGAAGCAAGAAGAGCAATGGAGATTTAGGATGTCTTTGGAATATCTATTTTATTTACAAATATATAGGTGGAGCATAATGGAAGTAAACAAATTCCTTTATCAGGCAGCAAAATGGCTAATCCTCCATCACATCATAGCAGCTTTTTTACAGTCCAGCTAAATTCCCAACAATCTACCTTCCTATCCAAATTCAAATTGCAAATACTTCTAGCTGGGTAACTATCCTTCGCCTCAAAAATCTGATGGTTGATAAGAGATTACCAGTAATTAAATGACATTATTGGTTGTTTTGTTAAGTTTCTCACCACCCATTAGCTTACCAGGAAAAAGAATACAGTGCTAATGCTATTCAAAACAACCATGCAAAATAAGAAAGGCACTTGTTTTCTGTGGTCTATAAACATTGTTGCAACTGAACTATGCATGTATAGTATATAGCATTTTTAAATTTTTATTGTAAATGCTAGACACAGAGAAGTTAGGCTTTAGGCCCTGTTACTTCACCCTCCATAAAATGTAGCTGTTACTGCCATTAGCAAAGGTGACCACACGATGAATCATATCATGCAAGAATTCTCTGCAGATTGAGTTTCACTCATGCCTGGAAATAAATGGAATTGTGAGTTTGCAGGGGATTGCTAAAACTTAATATGCACAGAATAACAGTTTTTACTTGTAATTGCAGCAGCTGACACTATTACTATGAGCCATTAGTGCCCAGAAGGTTAAAAATACAGCAACTTGCCTAAGCCCACCCAGTAAATTCATGGCTGAGCTGGGATTTGAACTTTCCTGTTCATTTTTTTTTTAAATCACTACCATTATGGCCACAATTTTGTTGGCTCTTTGAAAGACCAGCTTTGATAGACCTATTGCTGACTGAGTCCCCATATATCTGTCTTATCACAATTTGTAAATGCGACTGTAAACAATTTGGGGGGAAAGGTGGTAATTGTGCCAGTTAAATAATACAGCAATGCAATGTTTAGAAATTGCTGCTATCGCTATAACAGCAGTTCAATAATATGGCCAACTTGATTTAGCATATGTTCAGTCTACTTGACAGCAGATGTTTGCTCCTTATAGCTGCATCATTCTGTTTCAACTGTAATAACAATCATATTACAGACAAAGATAAAAGGTTTTGATAATGTTCTGTTATGATTCCAAAAGGTGTGTTTCTCATGCATTATTTATCAACGTGATGAAACCTACACATTATGCACATTGGCTGTCTCAATCTGAAAATAAAATCTGAAAGTAAAATATTGATTTTTTAAAAATCAATGTGGCTATATATTTGTCTCATTTCCACCACTAGAGTAAAGGAGATAATAAGAAAAGCTGTATTTTCTTGTAACCACCAACAGGCATTTTTCTCTTACATCAGTTCTGAAACGTCAGTTCCAGAAGAGTAACAACAGTGGCCATACTCTGAAACAGAGCCGTCTTTCCCATAAAGCTTAGTGGCGCGTTGCGCCACAGCACTGCCCTCTCAGGGGCGCCCCAGCGAGTGGGAGAGCTGTGCGGCTTTGCCGGCAGCCTCCCCTTTCCCTGCATGCCCGGGTGTGCAGCTTGCCTCTCAAGCCTCCTGTGCATGGCAGGAACGCGGGAGGGAAGCCCCGAAAAGGCAGGTGTCAAAGGCAGCTCCCTGTCAAAGGCAGCTCCCTGTCAAAGCTCTCCACCAGTGGCTTCCCAGCAGCAGAAGGGAACTCCAAAGCATTTGCAAAGACTCTCCTCCTCCTCACCCAGGAGCAGAAAGAGCTGCTTTGGCTGCTGCCCCTGCGACTCAATCCATGCTCTTTTCTGGAGACCAAGCTGAATTCTGACGGAAAGAATTAATTCATGGGGTCTGCCCAAGGCGTTTGGCTCCCCCCCCCCAACAGACCCATCCTTAGCTGTGCCTAAGTGCACGTTTATTTCTCCCTTTAAGTAGCATTGTGAAATGCAGTGGGCTGCTCACACACCCCGTGTGCTGCGTGTGTGGTCATGGTCGAGGACAATCTGCTGCTGTCCCGCCGCACCCACCCCACTCACTCACTCACTCACTCACTTCGAGGGGATCAGGGAAGCCTGCATGGGCGGGAGGAGTGACGCTATTTCTGCCCCGGCTCAGCTTCCCAACCACCACCCTCCTCTCCTCTCCGTTGGTGAGTTAAATGCCCTCTCCTTCCTGCTTTCCTCTGTCCCACTTTCTCTCTTTTTATCCAGTAAAGGAAGGGGTAGTTTCCCCCCGCCCCCAGCTCTTGCCTCTCCTTCCCTGTAGTGAAATTCCCAAGTTCAGGTCAACAACTCTGGGAAATCTTTCCTAAAAAAGGTCAACAACTTTGGGGTCCACCCTTAAAAAGTCCATAAACTCCGGGAAATGGGGGGGGGAGGCGCCGGAGGGAATCTTTGCACCACGGCACCGGATATGCTTAAGACGGCCCTGCTCTGAAAATGCTTTAAGGGTAGGAATGATTTCTAAATGGGCTACTCCTACTGGCATGCCAGGATCTGCTGTGTGGCTGTCCTCATATGATGAACCACTGTGCTTTAGGTAGCAGCCTTTGCCAGATGAGCCTTATTTGAGCAACACAGTCTTCCTGAGCTGTAGCATAGATCTGTCTCATTCACACTTCCACTTGTACTGTGCCTAGAAAGCATGAGTCCAAGTGGTTTTCTCTTTGCCATGTTCCTTTCCCAGAGAAAACCTGCTCTTTAGTGCTAAATCAGACAAATGTCAATCCAGGGGGGAAAACCCAATTGCTGTTTGTTCTGATTGAGAGTGGCTTTCCCCAGGGGAAAAAAGCAGGACAAGATAAACCCATGCTGTGTTTTCTCTTTTTCTTCAGTCTTGGCAATAGCAATTATCAGAAAAAAACAAATTTTTCTATCTCTTGGTATCATTTTATTCAATTCATCAGTTGTCTGTTCTGATATTCAAAACAAAAAAAATTCCTTCCAGTAGCACCTTAAAGACCAACTAAGTTAGTTCTTGGTATGAGCTTTCGTGTGCATGCACACTTCTTCAGATACACATGTGTATCTGAAGAAGTGTGCATGCACACGAAAGCTCATACCAAGAACTAACTTAGTTGGTCTTTAAGGTGCTACTGGAAGGAATTTTTTTTGTTTTGACTATGGCAGACCAACACGGCTACCTATCTGTAACTGTTCTGATATTGTTACTGTTTTTGATATGAGCATACAGTACACACACACACACACACTATAGAATGATTCTTTCTTATATGAGAACCAGTGGTTGATGTTTTAATATGTTTTTAAAGTAATTCAGAGAATTACTTTAGGTGCTTTGTGGACACCAAAATAATTTTTAAAGCTTCCTAAAACATTATCAAATATTGCTTTTGGAACACCTTTCACTTTGCCATACAAGTTGAGAATCTAAAGTCCCCCTGCACTCATGGAAGCTGGTTTACAGTTCTATGAACCTGGCCAATTCTCTTTTCTTTTTGTCTCAGCTACTAATTACTTAATAATATGTTCTATTCCCTTTCTATGCAGGCATATCAGAGACACATGGAGAATTTTGATCAGAATGTTGCTAACATCACCACCTGGATGTATCGGGCGGAAATACTATTGGATGAATCTGAAACACAAAAACCTCAGCAAAGGGAAGAAATTCTTAAGGTAACAAATACAGTTTTCTGAAAAAAATTATTATAAAAATCTAATAGTGTGCATCCCCAGGGTTTTTGCCCTACAGGTTTCAAATATTTTTAGATAAAAGCAAAACACATTTTCTCTTAACAAAGGCACTGTCTAACAGCTTTTAAATTGCTTAATAGAGCATAGTGAAGGTAAGTGTATTCAGTACAAAAGCCAAATAAGTTATTGGCTTGAGGATTTCATGGTGAGTAGAACACTTATTGTTAGGCCTGTATCTCTTGAATACCATTTGTATCTGTTTAAAAATGAAATACCAGCCTTCTTTTATCAGTTTGCTCCTTTTATCAAATATCTATTCTTCTGAGGATTGTTGTTTGTTATATATTCATGTCACTTCAAAGCTCTCTGAGCAGTGATTTCATTTGACAACATTGTATTTCAGTTTGATATTATCTTTGTGGAAGTGGTTCATCATTTGAAGAGGGATTTTTCAAAGCGTATTATAGGATGGCTTAAATGTATGTGTAACTTCTGTTGCAAAAATATAATCATACAAATTATGCAGTGCTTCATATAAATTAATATTATACTTGGTAATAAATCAGGTTTATAACCACCTGATCGAAGTATGATGTGGAGGGGGGGGGATATATATTTCCAAACTTCAATCTCTTCAAAGTCTTGCTTACTTCCACAACTTCTGGTTCTTCTTTCTAAGATTCCTGGCCTGAGTCTTCATAGCTCGTCAATAATTGTGCTCCACTATTTGTATAAGAAATATTATTCCTAACCCCCTTCCCTTCTAGCTTTCTTTACCCTGATTGATGTAGCTCCATTTGCTGCCTCCTTCAGAATTCTGAAATAAGAAAAGATCCAACAGAGAAATCTCAATGTCTCATGCTCCCCTGCCTTTATGAAGTGGGAACAGCCTGGTCTTCAATATCTAGTGCTGGCTATAATAAATGGATTAGATCTTACTGATCATGGTTTCATGCTTTCTGCTTCCATACTGATCCAATAATGGACAAGAGGAGCAGGGAAAATGGCAACCTGCATTCCTGTAATGTCAGAATTTGACTTGATTCTCAGCCTAGAGAGTCCTAATATGTTAACACTACCATCATGATAACCACTTCTCTTGGTAAAGTGTTCTGGAAACTGGAATTTCATTCGCTCCCTTGTAAACACAAGATGTTTTCCTATCTTCTGTTGCACCAAACAGCACCAAGTATTAATAGAATAGAAATTCAGTTATTCTCTCTAAACAGGAAATTATGGATGCATTTATTTCTCCAAGCAGTTTTGTGTTGTAAAGAGGATATTTAGTATGGAAAAGACATAGAAATTAGAAGCATTTTAGAAAGTAAGTAATAATTAGACCTAACATTGTTTAAATTATACATATGCTTGTATGGACTAAGGGCCCAGGTTAGTCTTTCTTTTTTAAAAAAATGCTTCCTAAAATTCCAGTGGCAGATCCTCTGAAGAGTGGGTATCTGTCAGTAAGTATAATGATGAAAAATTAAGGTGCAGACATGGAATCAGGTCTCTGAAAGTTTCTCAGCAATAATAATCCTTTTGTTTCTATCCGGTTTGTCTTACAGAGGTAAAGCATTCAATATGTAAATTCTTGTAAATACAAAAAGCTTACTTTTAGGTTGGAAATAGTTCCATTTCCGGAATAAAAGTCCCTAACAATTAGGTTATGAACAATTAGGTTCATTGTCTCAAAACAGTACCTGTTACACAAAATGCATATTTCCAGCTGGTGAAATTAAATGATTCAAAACTTACACTGTGCGTAACTGTCAGTATGAATTCTGTATCATTCCATCATCACTGTAAGCTTGTGCATAGTCCACCAACAACTCTTGGGCTAGCTAAAGCTGTAGACATATAATATAGAGGTAGATGTTCATAATAAACAAAGATCTCATTTATTGAGGCAAAACTACAATTTCAGACATATATATCATTATCAGAACCAGAAAGTTTCTATGCCCCTTTCTAATTGGATCTCAGAGGGATTACGGTAAATACACTCCTTTTTTAGCAGGATGAACTCAGTTGAAATAGCCTAAGCAGTTCAAAGTATAATCACATTTTCACAAAAAAGTTCGATTTCAAAAAAGTTTGAATAGAGAATTTGTTAGGGCTGACGGCTTGTAGGCCAAGCAATTGGCCAAGCAAGTAAAACAGCTCAGTTTGCTGAAACTAAGGAACCAAGCCAGATTCATCAGTTTTATAGAGCCAGATGAGGCTCTCTTGGCTTATTGTGATCATTATTGGGCTGAAAGTATAGTATCGCTCCAGCCATCTGCAGTGCTAGGCTTGTAGCATAGATTTAACTGAAGCCGCCAGTTCTTGTTACTTGCAGTAACCAGAGTGTTACAGGGCTTTCTGCAAGAGTCCCCCATTTGAGACTCTGATACAAATGTATGGTCATTTTCTCTTGAACATATGTAGATATCTTTTGCATTGAACCTACATTGGTTTTAAATAATTAAATGTGTGTGTGCATATAATATATAGATGGATAGATAGATTGTTGTTGTTTAGTCATTTAGTTGTGTCCGATAGATAGATAGATGCCTATATATATACCAGAACAACACTGAAATATTTTTTTCTGTAGGATAATGATAGCATGGAATATGATGTGAGGGAAAACTGTTTTAAGAGCACTGGAAGTGGAGTACAGGGATGTACTAACATATTTTTTAAATACCTTAAGGAAACTGTGAGAGATCTCTTCTGTAGAATATCTTCTGGTTCCTATGCATACCATTAATACATAAGCTTTCTATAGCTTTGTTTCTTAATGAACAAAACACGTAACATCTCAGTAATCCTATAACAGACCATATTATATTGGTGGGCTGAGGGTCAGAGATAGTGGCCTGTCACCGAGCTGAAATTTGCAAGAAGAAAGCATGAAATCTTTCTGCATATGTATTCTAATGGTGATCTTGGTTATCTGAGTGCTGGTTCGTAATGATCCAAATGGCTATATTACTGTAGTTATCCACAATTCAAGAAGAAGGTAACAACAGTCTTAGAGGAACCTCAAAGTTTGCACAAGTACAAAAAACCTGGAAGTGTTAAACATTTTAGAGGAGGCAAGAAACAGTCCAATGAACAGTGAGCATGCCGACTTGACTGTTGGTGGGGGCATAGAAAGCTTTGTGGGAGGGGAATGAAATTGGAGCACCATGAACAGGAGCACTACAGTGTGAGTATCTGCTATTAAATGGGGTCAAAAAAGGCTCTTGCTATTCTGAAAATAAACATATTTGTGTTGTTCAGGGAATCAGCTGAGGAAAAAAATAAGTTATTCAGGATGTTTTTCCTATGTCTTTGATTAAATGCGTATTCATCTTCTGTTTCACTGTTTCTGTCAGCCTGAAAATATATATGAAAAGCTAGGCATGGACTGTTCAGAGCTACACAACTGTATGCTTAGTCACAAGCATTTATCTAACGTTTGCTTTATGGTTTTGCTCCATATTCCTTTGCACACTCTCTCTTTCTCTTTTCCCTCTCTTCCTTCTTGCATTTATTACTAACTTCAAGCCCTGTCTCTTACTCATGGACTGTAGCGCTTAAAGACTGAGCTGAATGATATGCATCCAAAGGTGGACTCTGTGCGCGACCAGGCAGTAGACTTGATGACAAACCGTGGAGATCACTGCAGGAAAGTAATAGAGCCTAAACTGGCAGAGCTCAACCAGCGATTTGCAGCCCTATCAGAAAGAATTAAAAGTGAAAAGGTAGGAGGACATGCTCCTTGCTGAGCTACTTGTATATGCTAAAGAGAGCTTCGCAAAGTGGGTATGGTTGGGGTTTTTTGAGGGCAAGTTTTACAAAGCAGAAGCTAGCAAGGACAAAGGAGTGAAATCCGGAATTTAAAAACTGAAACATTGGAAGAGCCTTTGTGTGAGTGTGTATGTAAATAAACTGTCCCTTCCAGAAGCAAAGTTCCCATTATTATTATTATTATTATTATTATTATTATTATTATTACTTTTACTAGCCACAGCATCAAAAAATTGCTGCCAAGGAAAAAAAGAAAGAAATGATTCTTGTTGCTGTATCACTAAAAAGCATGCTGTCATACCAAAATGGAGGACATGTAAAACTAGCATGCGGCTTTTCTAAGCATGTTGTCTTAAAGCAAATTCACATTGGTGCTTCTGTGCAAGAATCTGTTCACAAGTTTCATGCTGATATGTTTGCAACTCAATAAGATCAACTCAGTGAGAATGAGTCAAAAGCAAATCATTTTCACCAATATTGTTTGTCTGTATGGTTGCTGAGCTGTATCAGTGGAAGAGTTGGAGAGAGCTTAAAATAAGTGTGGTAAATATTTGGTACTTTTTCTTTTAACTTTCCTAAAGCCAGCTTTTCTAAGACCAGTTTGCTAAATCATTAGGCAGTTCTGGATAACAAGGTTTTTTTTAGCCCAACAGGGCAACTTATAGCACAATCCTATGCATGCTTATCCTTAAGTAACTCCCATTGTGCTCAGTCAGATTTACTCCCATGTAAATATGCATAGCAATGCAGCCTTAAGATCTAGTTTGCTTGGAGGCAGCCAGGAGAGCAAGTTGAAAATGGGCAAAGCTGCTTAGACCTGAACCCACCAATATTTGTACTTGAAAAAGGGTGAGAGGAAGGGGCTAAACCACTGACATTTAGAAAAGAAGTGACAACTTCAGGAAGCCAGAGAGAGCTGAAGTAAGTCTCCCTTTTGAGCCTTACCCCAACACAAAAACAAAAGTTGACATATGGAATTATGAAACTGCTGCATACTGAGTCAGACTATTGTTTTGTCTAGTTCAGTATTATATATTCTGGCATGGAGTGGTTCTCTTTCAGAGCCTTTTCCACCCAGCTAGGCTTTTAACAGGAGGTCAAGGGCCACTTGCATGCAACCACAGCATCTACAGCTCCAAAAGCTGGTAATACAGCTTCAGCAGAAGTTGGGAAATTTTGCCTTATCAAAGTTGTCCACATATACACTTTCCCCAACATGAATTGTGCCTAAATCAGCACTAGTGAACTGTTTCTTGAAACTTCCAATCCCAGTGCCCACCTAATAAATGTGAAAAGTACACTTAGGTGAGATAAGGTACTTGAAGTTGTGAAACTTGTATAGAATCATAGAATCATAGAATCATAGAATCATAGAGTTGGAAGAGACCACAAGGGCCATCGAGTCCAACCCCCTGCCAAGCAGGAAACACCATCAGAGCACTCCTGACATATGGTTGTCAAGCCTCTGCTTAAAGACCTCCAAAGAAGGAGACTCCACCACACTCCTTGGCAGCAAATTCCACTGTCGAACAGCTCTTACTGTCAGGAAGTTCTTCCTAATGTTTAGGTGGAATCTTCTTTCTTGTAGTTTGGATCCATTGCTCCGTGTCCGCTTCTCTTGAGCAGCAGAAAACAGCCTTTCTCCCTCCTCTATGTGACATCCTTTTATATATTTGAACATGGCTATCATATCACCCCTTAACCTCCTCTTCTCCAGGCTAAACATGCCCAGCTCCCTTAGCCGTTCCTCATAAGGCATCATTTCCAGGCCTTTGACCATTTTGGTTGCCCTCCTCTGGACACGTTCCAGTTTGTCAGTGTCCTTCTTGAACTGTGGTGCCCAGAACTGGACACAGTACTCCAGGTGAGGTCTGACCAGAGCAGAATACAGTGGCACTATTACTTCCCTTGATCTAGATGCTATACTCCTATTGATGAGGCCCAGAATTGCATTGGCTTTTTTAGCTGCCGCGTCACACTGTTGGCTCATGTCAAGTTTGTGGTCAACCAAGACTCCTAGATCCTTTTCACATGTACTGCTCTAAAAGCCATTGCGCAAAATATACTATACACAAATTTACACAAGATTCTGTTGAGGAAAAAATGGTTCAGGGTTCATTAATAAAATTAGAGGGCATTTATATAAACTTTTGTTAAAAAAAATAGGGAAAGAAATGAAGGTTCGTATTGCATACAAGCATATTGTAAAGCAGAGATTGAGAAGTAGTGATGCTCCAGATATTGTTGGAATACGATTTCTGTTATTCCTAATCATTGGTAATGTTGGCTAGGACTTGAAGCGCAATGAAATCTGAAGGGCAACAATTTCCCCTTCCCTGTTCTAAATAAACACATAATTATGGGAGTAGCCCCGAATAGTACACTATCCTATTGATTATAAGTTCCATGTAATCACAGACAAGCATTGGGAAGCTGGAGCTGGTTTCAATCTACTCAGTCAGCAACCGGCAGTTTTTATGCTTTTCATGCATGAGTGCTTAGCACTGAAAATTGGAAGCTTCAGTATTAACACAGAACACAATTCATATATTTCGGCAAAAGCTAAAGTTTTGCCTAGTATATTAAGCTGTCATAACTATGCTCTCTCCTCACTAACCACAAACTATAGCCAAGATTTAGTTGTGGCTTAGCTTAGCTTGGCACAGAAGTAAAAGTGACTGGGAAGGTGATGTCTGCATGGCCCAGGTAAGTCAGGGATAGGCAGCTTGATCTGGCTAGTGGGCCAGATCCTTATTCCACACATCCAACATGGACCAACTTTGATAGTTGGTCTGGATCAATCACCTGTAAATCATTTGACATCATAATCATCACAGTTACAGCAACTTGTTTTGAATGTGTGCTTTCAGCACCAATTAGTGATTAGCACCTTCAGATAGGCTCCTTGTAACCACTGATCAGCAGATAGCACTTTGTCTGGTGCTTTGAATGCAAACTGCTTACTCTGGAAAAATAAACATGCTCTGTTTTTAAGCAGAGCATTCCCCCCCTCCTCTCCAGAGAAAGTGGTTTGGATTCAAAGCACTATGCTAGGGGGTGCTGCGGAAAGCCATAATTTTACTTATGTGCAAACAAGCTTATTTTGCAGCGCAAACACACCTTGCACAGAAACAATATATTCTTCCTTCCTGATCAGTTGTACCCGTGTAATACACAACTTTGTTGCATTCAAATGTTACATTTCACACAGAACATTACATTTACATTTCAATATGTATGCCCTGAAAATATGTATAAAGAAGCCCTCCATTTGTAGTTTGCTGAAAATATTTGTTTTGTTAATGAACAACCTGTTCATCACACCACACTACCTGTTCTGGTTTGTGTCCGGTGCAAAGATTAACAAAATACAGGTCAGCCTACTAAGCTTCCTCTCTTCATAAATGGTCAGCATGGTGTTATGAGTTTGCAGGGGGCGGGGGAGTAGGCGGTATGCTGAGACCCTTCCAACCCCTGGATCCAGCAAGTGTTAAAATATAGGCAAGGCTAGCTTCCTGATGAGGTGCCCACAGTTATTTAGAAGGACAGTGCCAGAGTTGAGGGCAGAGAGTTTGCAGTGATGTGAGCTAGAAGCAAATGTAGTAAGACGGAGAGAGAGTCAGAATGATGTTTGATTTCTCTTTGAATTCTAAGTTGCAGCCAGGGAAGAAGCTAAGCCCTCTTGAGGTGTTAATTTTGTGAATCCCTCCACTGTAGACTCAGGGTGTGTGTTTGTGTGTGTGTAAATAAATCATATTTCAAAAAGACAGCAGTGTCTCTGCTTTGCCTCTTTCCGAAGGAAACATGAACCCTGGGTAAGTGCTTGAGACCCATGAAATATTGTACCACTCAGAGATTGGGGAGGCATGCAACAATGTTATTGTTCTCTGGATTTAAATAAAGTACTAAAGCTGTAATGACATCATCAAAAATGACCTTACCATTAGGCAAGATGAAGTGGCTGCCTTAGGTAGCAAATTATGGGTGCTATTAAAGAGTGGTTTATTTGTATAATGTTGCTACTTGAACTTTCTGCCTCAGGTACCAATTGTCTGTGTTCAGTCTTGAAGATCCAACACTCCTATTTGTTTCTTTCAGTTAATCTTAGCCATGCCTTGATTTAATATTGACTAGTTTGCCCTCAGACACATTTTCTTGTGGAAATTGAAATAAAACACTGGGTAGAATGTATTTATCAAGAAATGGGTTACTGCTGAGAAGATTTTTATTTGTGATGCATTAGTCTTTTAAATATGACCAAGATTTTAACCTTATTGTAATTTAGACCATTTTCTTTTAATCACACTTATTTAGGGATCTTTAAGATTATAGAAGCCAAAGGTTGAGGAATTAATAGCATTTTTAGAAAGCAACAGGCTTGGCTAAAATATTTGTATATTTTTAAAAAATCAGGTAAAAATTGTCATGGAAAGGCAAGTAGGAATATTTTTTTTAATAAACACCAGGGAACAGGAAAATGGAAATGCATGGCTAGTGGTTTTCTGTTTCTGTTAAAAACACTGTGGACCCATGAAGAAATCACCTTTTACAATGTGCTTACCAAGACAGGATATAAGTTAACTGTGTATGTGGTGCTATGTGAAAGGTTAAGTTTAGAATACTAAGTATCCTCTGTGACTGGCAGGTGGCAGTTAGCTGAGAAAATCTGGGTTATTTTTATTTTTGTTTTTGACGATTGTAATATTTCGCTTCTCACTGGCTTCTTGGATAGAAATCATTGGTCACTCCTTGAATAGGAAAAGTGGTCTGATAATGAATTCATTGCCACTTAAAATCTGATTGGTTGAATGAATGGTAGGCTGTCTGGAACATAAAAATGCCAGTTCTGCCACTGTCTGAGAATGGGCCAGAAGAGGAAGAAGCTGGAGGAGAAGGCTGAGGTGTGAAGGCTGGTGGTGAGGCAGGTTGAGGCTAAGGAAAATCAGGAAGTATAATTTGCCTCACAAAAAGGCCAAATCACTGGTTTAAGCCAAAGGCTGGCAGAGTCTCCATCAAACTGTGGAGGCTATGAGCAGAGAGGGAGAGATCAGCAAGGAGCTTCTGGAGATGACCCCTCCCGCAGCCCTTTTTCTTCCACCATACAGGAATGCTGCGAGAGGGAACAGTCTGACTGACACAGGTGGGGTCTCTACTTGCCTCCCTCTCATCCCTCTCATCCCTCTCACACAGGACCTTGCGGAGACAGGCAGAGGCCCAGGCCAGGTAGATAATGTCCCCCCCTTTTTTTTTTTTACCCTGGGGATAACTGAAGTCTTATAAATAAGTAAGTATTGTGAATATGCTGACTGAAGCCCCTTTTGGAATTGGAGGCCCAGGCCAAGTGGCCCATATGGCCCCCCCTCTGTCTGGGTCTGCTCTCACATAAAGAAAGTAGAATCTGATTTGTGTCTATTGGAACTTCCTAGCTCCCTGAGGATTTGGTAGGTGGGTTCTGTGAGGGATTTTTTTATTATTATTAAGATCCCTTAATAAAGCTGTGGTATTAAACAGCAATTCTAACCCCACTTACCTGAGAGCAAATGCCATTGAATTCAATGGGACTTGCTTCTCGGTAGACCTGGTTATGTGAGGTCTTCGTATTCTTTCTTACTCCATAGCGGGAAATATGTTCTAGTGGAAGCACAGTTAAGTCCAAGGTATGCTAATGTTTTTTGTCCAAAATAGTCATAAAAATCTCCCTCCATTTATTTCAGCTGAACAGAGTTCTCTTCCTGACAAACTTCTGTGCCAGCTCTGCCTTTTGTGGCTAAGATTTTCAAAATACGATTTTGTAAATTTACGTTCTACCATCCTTCATGCCAAAATATGAATAATATGCATTATTTTTTATATAAATAACCAGAAATTTACAAAAATGGGAACATCTGAAAACCCGTCTTAATTCACACAGAATGCAATACTGCTCTTATCTATTGTTTTATCCCATGATTATTTAATAGCATTTGCTCAAGGGCTTATATATATTTATCGTGTCAATTTTTATACCCTATAATCAAATCAATATACCTATGCAGTGTATAAAATTTAAAACCAATACAGAATAAAATCCATACAGAAGACATAATAAAATGCAGCATACTCACAGAAATACAATATAGGCCACCTTCAAGAGGAGGCTTGCTATAACAACAAATTTTTAAGGTGATGCCTAAAACACATTACAGAATGTGTCAGTCTAATCTCACTGGGCAAAGAGTTCCATGAGCTCAGTGCCACAACACTGAATGCACTATTTCTAGTTGATAATAACAAGGAATGGCAAATTGTGAGGCAGTTGCAGGTCATAAAGGTCAGGCAAGGGTATAAAAGGTGAGGCGATTATTTAAATATAAGTTGCTTTATACAGTAGTAGTAGTAACTTGGCCCAGCAGCAAATTGTCATCCAGTGTATATCCTTTAGCCGACATTTCACATGGTTGCGATAAAAAGTCCTTGATCAACTATGGGTGAGGTTCATAAACAGAAGGCGCTTTTGCCCATTTCCCCTTACTACTGCAGCCCTGAACCCCATGTCACTCTATTCCAGAGTGACCCCCAGTGTGAAAGAAGCAGATTTTTAGGAATAAAGAAGCTGCAGGAGAAATGGAAATAAATGGTCCCATTCTATGAAATGAAGTTGGGATCGCTGACATTCAAAATTGCTTAGACTGATATTTGAAGAACTGGATTATGTGTGCTTATGGCAATGCCATGGGCTAAATTATCTTTTGATCCATTTTAGCTTGGAACACAGAACTGTATGTTCCCAAACGATGACTCTTTTACTTATGTGTCTGTAAACCTGTGTCATTTGTCACATGTTTTAATAGCTCATTTTGATTAAAATTGCTGGTTTATGGCACTGTGTTAGCTGAGTAGTTTTGTGTCTAACATCTGAAAGTCTTAAAAGTAGATCTAATGCCAGGAATCTGAAAGGGGTCTTTTATTTTGTTTCTTTGTTTATGAATGATTAAAATTGCACCACATCAACAAGGATGTCCAAAGTTTACAAAAATGGAAGTTCACTGTGTAACAATTTGATCATTTTACATCTTAGTATTAGAATGCACTTAAGACTTTATATTAAATTGTAAGTACACACATATTAATTTCCCCCATGTGATGCATTAATGAAAACAAGTGAAATCTAGCTTATTGAAGTTCATAAGTAGTCCTTAGTCATGATAAGATTCTAAATTAAAGACAGTATTATAATTTACATAAATCAGTAACTAAGCCTTCTCATAAAGCTTTCTAAATCCCAATATTGCTTTTGTTTGGGGCAGGGAGGGGGGGAAACAGGTGATTTCCCACTTTTTAAAGTGGTATTTTTTTAATGTACTGTGCTAGAAATACTCAGAATTTGTGGAATACTTTTCTGTTTTATTAATATGGTTATATTTCTGCCTTTAATAAAAATATCTTTTGAAGTTTAAAACAATATAGAATATGATATATATGCATATTTGTGGAAAAATTGCTTCTGAATGTGTGATGAATTTCTGATAGGCCAGGTTTAAACAAAATGTCAGAATTGTGTTTCCTCCCCAGTTCTCATAAAGTTTAAAATTCGTTGAATGCACATTCTACATATTTATTTACATGCATCTACCAATCCAAGCCAAATATGTATTCATTAAACATATTTGCTTTGTTGGTGAAGAAGTTTAAAAAAACATCAAATACCTTTATATTGATTGTGGCTTTTATCATTTTATGGCTTTTATATAGTTTTAATATTGCTTTTTCATTTTGATGATTTATGATGTTTTTATATGGTTGATGAAGTTCCTTTTGCAACATAAACAAAACTGCTAGGTAAGAGCCATAAATAAAGATTGATCAAGCAAGGTACTACCACTAGTTTTGTTACATAAAAGCTATTTTGTAAAATACCCAAAATGTGTATGTAATTAATTTAACAGTTGGGGGCAAAACAGATATGTCGCTTTGGTTTATGTCTGTAATAAAACAGTATGTGATGTAAAATTGACAATCTTCCTTTCTCTCTCCCCCTTCCCAACTTTCCAACCGTTCTTTAAAGCCCTTCATTCCTTTGAAGGAATTGGAACAGTTTAACTATGATATACAAAAATTGCTTGAACCACTGGAGGCTGAAATTCAGCAGGGGGTGAATCTGAAAGAGGAAGACTTCAATAAAGATATGGTAAATTGGTTGTGATGGGAGTATGAGTAAAATGGAAATGGAATAAGTGCTGGAGTAAAAATTAGAAACCTCTACGTTTGCATTTGACTCTTTAGACAGGTTAAACACACTGTCGTTCTGTTTAACTGCTATAAAATTTTACTGCAGCGTTTACTGTTTGTAGCATTGTCACCATAATGTTCTAGTAATATATACAATGCTAACTTTCATAGAATAATACTTGCTTATTCCTTCGGAATAATTTTCTGAAACAGACAGAAGTGTATGTCCAACACCAAGTTTTAGATATGCTGGATCAATCTACAAATCTTTCATTTAACCTGATGCTGACTAAAGCAGAGGTAGGAAAAGTCCATTTGTGGATGATGTCAGCTATTCATTTTATACTTTTTATATCCCTTTATGATTTCAAGTCATTTGAAATTCTTCTGTAAAGGTGTTGAACGTTGATGGAAAGGTGCATTATTTGTACTCATGACAAATTTTTAAATAATTAGGCACCTGTTGTTAATTTGTGTAGCTGAAGAAAGGGGAGTGAAATTGGTATGACTTTAGACAGCATAATTTTATAACTGCACAAATCTTTGATACCTTCAAATCATCACAACTTTGACACTCATTCAGTCTTCAACATCAAATTTAGTGAAAGCTCTGCAGCTTCATCTTTTTTAATCTTCTACTTAGTAAAAACAAAGAAACAAAATTGTACGTGCTTAGATAATGCAGTTTGCCAAATTTCCCCCAGGAAACCTGTAATTCCAGGATTCACCAAAATACTGCAAATGTCTATTGCAAACATGAGGTGAACTATTGTTGAACCTCTTACATTTGCTTTCTTTCTATGTACCTATATTATTGATTGATTTGTTAGTATTGTTCGTTGTTACTAAAGTTATTAGTAAAGTTGAAATTTTCTGAAAATCACAATGTCAAATTATCTTCATGGATTCTTTTGGCCCAACATTGCATCCAAGAATTGGTTCAAGACTTGCACAGTCTCTCACCTGATACTAGTGAATCCTCAATATAAATAATTTCAAAATAAAATATGTGGCTAATGTCGCTGCTGCTTCCCATTGATACTTCTACTGTAGATCTGAAGGATGAACATTGGTATGCAAGCTTTCAGTTCTTAGTTCATAAGCATGCCGTACCACAAGGACATTGCTAAATCCTTAAGAAACTTGGGGCAGAGGCTCACAATATGAATGTGGATAAAACTTGCATGAAACAACATATATCTATAGATGCAAATTTTGGCTGACTTTCAGCAGGAAGGCTACCCTGCAAGGAAAGTTAAATTAAGCTTTAAAGCAAAGGACAACACATTTGGGACCTGATGGAAAAGGCCCAAGGATATTTCTCTGTTGTTTACTCTTCCCTCTTCCTTGACTCCCTGCCTCTGACATCTACCCTCTGCTGACTTTTTTGAGTTTAAGGTCTTCTGTTTGCAGGGCCGTTGCTTTTTCTTGTTAATATGTGAAACACCATGTATATTCATGGTGTATAAAGGATGGTGATGATAATAATGATTAGTAATAGCACAATATATTTTTTCAAGATTCAACAGGCTAAGCAGTCTTGCTTTATGTGTAGATATATATATTTGGAGAGAATGTTGATTACATTAATTCTTTTTCTTTTCATTAAAAAAAATCAGAGTGAAGATAATGAGGGTACTGTAAAAGAACTGCTTCAACGAGGAAATGTGCTTCACCAAACAATCACAGATGAAAGAAAAAGAGAGGAAATAAAAAGTAAACAGCACCTGTTGCAGACTAAGCATAATGCTCTCAAGGTAGAGAACATAACTAATAAATGCACAAATTCTCTGATCTTTTTTATACATGTTGGTATTGGGCAGGGATGGAGAGTTTCTAGTTGTTGTTTAAGAAATCAATGCAGTCTGCTCTATGATTATGAAAGAGGATTTGTCGGCAGCCATTGCTATTTGACATTCCTGGTTGCAGATAGCTATTTTTCATTTTATGCCTAGGAATAGAGAAAAACTTTCAATTCATTTTAAACATACTTTTTGATAGGTTCTCACGCAGGACTGTTAAAATTTCTACAACTTTTCAGTGTTTTTTTCAGTGCATTCTTCTGACAAATTAAAATGCCTTTGATTAAGAAAACTGTATATGTAATTCAGATTTTGTGCTTTGGCATTATGCAAAGCTGTTTTATGCAAAGCCTTTAATGATAGTAAAATTTTATTTAGATTGATCAGATTCTTACTGACAATCTTTACAAGGGGCATGGTTATTTATCTTATTTTTCATTTTTGTGACTCACTGAATGCATTCAGCCTTGACGTATAACACTAAGACTATTGAGTAGTTAAGCAAATTTGTACCTTGTAGACTGAAAATTGAATTATAGGGAAAGATTAAGAGGGAAGGGCGGATCCCCAATAATGCATAATTTAATTTAACTATAATATTTATAAAACACAATCAATTACGATAGTTTAAAACTTATTGAAAGATGTATATACATTGTTCAGAAATTAACATAGCCTACTTAGAGAAATAGGGACGCGGGTGGCGCTGTGGGTAAAAGCCTCAGCGCCTAGGGCTTGCCGATCGAAAGGTCGGCGGTTCGAATCCCCGTGGCGGGGTGCGCTCCCGTTGCTCGGTCCCAGCGTCTGCCAACCTAGCAGTTCGAAAGCACCCCTGAGTGCAAGTAGATAAATAGGGACCGCTTACTAGCGGGAAGGTAAACGGCGTTTCCGTGTGCTGCGCTGGCTCGCCAGATGCAGCTTTGTCACGCTGGCCACGTGACCCGGAAGTGTCTGCGGACAGCGCTGGCCCCCGGCCTCTTGAGTGAGATGGGCGCACAACCCTAGAGTCTGTCAAGACTGGCCCGTACGGGCAGGGGTACCTTTACCTTTACCTTTTTACTTAGAGAAATAAGTAAATAAGAAAATATTTAGCCTTTACTTGTAGTACAATCAGGGTTCATATATATGCATAACTATTTATATACCACCACCACCCCACCACCCCGTGTTCATATTGGCCACCATTTATATGCCTTGTTCACAAGTTGCAAAAAATCACTGTTTGTCTTAAACCATGGTTTAATTGTGAATGCGCTTCCTCTCCGGATTCCCCCCACCCCCACACATAGCTTCTTCCCCTCCTCCCCAGTGGCAGTTTATTTCCATTTTAGCACTCATGGTTTGAAACAAACCAACTATAGTCTAGATCTCATGAACAGTAGCAGACGGAAAGGCGTGGTGGCAGTGCTTACCTCCAAGCACAGAGCCAATATGGTGCTCCTCCTGGTGTGTTTGTTCAGTGTTGGCGTCCGCCCTGGTGTGTTCCTAGGCCTTGGAGGGCTAAGCCAGCTGGGGGCCCCTGCAAGGGACCAGCTGCTCTTTTGTTTGAGTCTATAACTTTAAATAACAATAACAATAAATTTATTATTTATACCCCACCCATCTGGCTGGGCAGCTCCCAACAGATTAAAAACAGAATAATACATCAAACATTAAAAACTTCCCTAAACAGGGCTGCCTTCGGGTGTCTTCTAAAAGCCAGATAGTTGTTTATTTCCTTGACATCTGATGGGAGGGCATTCCACAGGGCGGGCACCACCACCAAGAAGGCCCTCTGCCTGGCTCTTTATTCTAAGAAGAGTTTTGCATACAAGCTCTGCATGGGCCTGCATTCACTCCTGTCTTGTTCCCCCCACTCTCCCTCCTGATTAGCAGATGCAACTCCACTGTTGGGAGGTAATGTAAGGGCTGTCACCGTACTCCATCATCTGCTACTGATCACAAACGCAAGCCAGGATCAAAGCATAAGGACCAAGACATTGACACCAGTTTTGCAACCTAATTTATCAGTTTCATTGATTCAAGAGCTCTCAGTCACACAACCCATTCATACATGCTCTGCAGAGTTATAGTTAGGTAAAGGTACGTAGTTTCTTTGTCTAATGAGATGGCCAGTCCGGTAGCACTGAGGTATGGATGCAGCAGGCTGACAGAAGACTGCTCTTTGCGTGCTGCAGAGGTTTTCATTTATCTCTTGGATAAAACATGAAATAATATTATGGCTTGCTTGAATGGGCAGGGGGAAAAGCTGACAGAACCTGCGTGGCTGCTGAAGGTAAAATCACAATTAAACCGTAGTTTAAGACAAACTGTGGCTTATTTCAACATGCAAACTAGGCCAAGTATGAGCTTGTTTTTGCAGTTCTAATAATGTCTGCATTGTGAACAGGATCTGAGGTCTCAAAGAAGGAAAAAAGCTTTGGAGATTTCTCCTCAATGGTATCAGTATAAGAGGCAGGCTGATGATCTAATGAGCTGGCTGGATGACATTGAGAAAAAAATAGCAAGTTTACCAGACCCCCAAGATGAACAGAAGCTAAAGGTAATGCCATTTTAGAAGCAGTGTTACATATTATTATTATTATTATTATTATTATTATTATTATTATTAATGTTCATATATGTGTCCCTCTGTATGTAAATGTAATAAGATGTAGAGATATAGTAGTTCAATACTTAATATTATTATTTAAATGATTTAAGTAATTCTTGTTGCTTGTGTCCTTGCAAATGTTACATCCTTGTGTCCTTGCAAATGTTACATTAAATAGATTTTAGAAAATTATAGGAAATAATACTTTACTTGTGTATATCAAGTGTACTCTGTTTAGAAACTTCCATTGCTTTATAGAAAAAAAATAATTGATTCTGTATCTTTATTCCAGATGAGCAAATGACTTATCGGTATATGGATGAACTCTTTTTTCATGTTAGCACATTCATTTTCATCAGAACATAAACATATTTCATTGTCAAAATTCTAAAGATTTACTTATTTGTTGTCAAAGAATTGCCTCGTTTATTTTGCATCGTCTTCTTTTGCTTCATTCTCCGTTGAGTTCTTTGCTTCTTCTCCGTTGAGAAAAACAATTAAAAACTCTAACCATGCAACTGACAATCACTATGGGTATTTAATATGTGGTTTCTGTACATTACAGCTATCTTTCCAATTACCTGTCAGACTGTGCTAGGGAGTATTAGACAGTTAATATATGGGCCCAGATTACTATCCAGAATACACATGTCACTTAAATATTTAAAATCAATGACCCAATACTCACCTTTGTTTTTTTCTGTCTAATTGTAAACAAAAATAAATAAAAATAAGTGTACTTTTTTGTTTGTAACAATAAAGTTGGGAAAGATTCTACCGAAGTATTTTGCTAATTCTTAGGAGTTTATTATCTAGTTAGCTAATTGTCCTGGGCCCTGTATTGATTTTGCTCAATAGGAAATTGATCGAGAATTGGAGAAGAAGAAGGAAGAGCTGAATGCGGTACAGAGACAAGCTGATCGCTTGTCTAAGGATGGGGCTGCAAAAGCAGTGGAACCAACCCTGATACAGCTCAGCAAGCGCTGGCGAGATATTGAGAGCAAATTTGCTCAATTTCGAAGACTCAACTATGCACAAATTGTGAGTTGTTCCTGGCAAACATGTATGTTTGCAAATACTGCTACTAACAGAACCCTACTAACAATGAGAGTACCCACTGCTATGCCAACTTGCCTAAAACAAAGTCTCTGGTCAGCAAATGTGGGCCACCTTATTTTGCCATACAATATAAGCCTCGTGGTACACGATTTGCCTGGATAATGCCCTAAAATTTTAAAAAAAAACCACAAGCAAGCAAGTATAAACAGCAGAGATTCCTTAGTATTCAACAAAAGTACATCTTAATTTTTGTTGCCTCATATTTTCCATAACATTACCGGTTTAAACCTGTCGGCGTGCCATACATTTATTTTGTTCAATAAACATGCGTGACTCAGAAATATGTATTTTCAACCTACCATCCCATGCAAAAACTAATTAGCTTTTATTTCCTCATGATGTACAATCTACACACCTAAGAACAGATTGGAGAATTTTTATTTCTACTTCTTATACATAACATAGTCTCTTTTCAGCTTAATAGGACAATACATAATTTTTCTCAGTTTTTCACTAAACAATTCAAATGTTCTTTTTAATAACTTCTGGAGGAGGGAGAATGCTTCTTTCACCTATCCAACAGACCTCTGCCATTGGGAAATATGTCTTATCTGAAATTGTACTTTCAAATAAAGGATGCAATCAGGTTTGCTGAGTTAAGCTTTTAGGTATTGAAAGAATTGTAGTTCTGGTTTGTATATATGTATTACAAGAATAGCATTTCCTATTTTAAAAAAACCCCTGATGAGAGCAACATGTTATGTTCAGTGCATGAGAATTGTATTACATGCACCATTTCACTTAATCTCTGGATCAATGTTTCATTTGTAAAACTAGTGAATAGACATTACCTACCTCACAGGGATGTTGTGAGGACGTATTAATGTATATATGGCACTATGGAAATTTCTCATGCTTTTGTGAAATCAGAAGCTAACTTTGGTTACAGAAAATATTTTCATAAAGTTTACACAAGTGATCTCATAAATACAATCATATATTGACTATAGATGCCTTTCATTATCATGGAAATTGCCCCCACTTGCTTAGCAGAGGGTGTTTTTTTACAGTGTATTTAAAGGTAAAGGTAAAGGGACCGCCAACCTTCTGATCGGCAAGTCCTAGGCTCTGTGGTTTAACCCACAGTGCTACCCGCATCCCCACTAAATACAGTGTATTTAGTGCACAGTAATTACAGCTGCAGGGACGCGGGTGGCGCTGTGGGTTAAAGCCTCAGCGCCTAGGACTTGCCGATCGAAAGGTCGGCAGTTCGAATCCCCGCGGCAGGGTGCGCTCCCGTTGCTCGGTCCCAGCGCCTGCCAACCTAGCAGTTCGAAAGCACCCCCGGGTGCAAGTAGATAAATAGGGACCGCTTACCAGCGGGAAGGTAAACGGCGTTCCATGTGCTGCGCTGGCTCGCCAGATGCAGCTTGTCACGCTGGCCACGTGACCCGGAAGTGTCTGCAGACAGCGCTGGCTCCCGGCCTATAGAGTGAGATGAGCACACAACCCTAGAGTCTGACAAGACTGGCCCGTACGGGCAGGGGTACCTTTACCTTTTAATTACAGCTGCAGTAAAATTGGGGGGCTTAAAAAACAACAGCACACAGTTGCTGTTAATCTGCTTCAGTTACATCAATTCAGTGTTTGCTGTACAGGATTTTGGAAAGAGACTACACCCTCAGTTTTCTGCCCTTAAGTTTGTGGAGTATATTCCTCAGGTTTTCCATTTCTTGGTGAAACTTTTATTCATTAACCTGACTAAGAAGCCAACAAATCTTCAGTGAAGTAGTTTTTTACTGTTTAGAGATGTATGTATAATGTGGTCAACCATGTATAGAAAGGATTGTGCAGAAAAACTGAAAAGAAATTCACATTCCAGTATTTGGTGTTCTGCTTAGGAGAATTGTTCTTAGAACAAAATGTAGAAATCAAGTAATTCTACAACTGGGGAAACAATTTTGCTGCATTCCAGGCAAAGCAGTGCGTATAGGAGGAAGATTTTGTATTGTGCCCAAAGATTCTTCCATTAGGAAAAGATACCTTTGAATCCAATCCTTTCCCTATGCAAATTATACAGACTGCCCTAGCTATGCTTGGTGGTGAGATCAAAGTTCCATCTAGTTGCCAGTCTGCTGTTCTAGGGAAGTCTTTTTTTTTTTTTAAGGGCAATATGGTGATAGCATTGCCTGTTTGTCCATAGCCTCTGGTATTTAGAAATACACTGCATTACTTTGCAGCATAAATAAAGCTCTTGTTTGCAGCCATGGTGTTTGGCTTGTCCTCACACACTTTTAAAGATCAAGGGTTCAACCTCAGCACATTCTATTTCACATAATCCATCATTCTGCTACTCAATCAAGGCGAGTCCAAAAGCAAACAACCTCATAAACTGGAAGTGGTTTGTAGTAGGATGTGCTTTTAAAAGAGCATACCAACATTCAAATGAATCCCAAACTGGCTTACAAACAGTAAATAACAATAGTATGATAAAATAGATAATATGATAGAATATGATAGAATAACATAATAGACTGTCACAAAAACAGCATAACTCATATAGAACAATTAACAAATCAGTAAAACAATTACAATCTATAAGGCTTTTAACAAAGCAACTAAAAATAAGCTAAACATCACAATTAAAGCAAAAGTCATATATGATTAACAAATCAATACAGCATTTATAATTTACATAAAGTTATAACAATTCATAATAAACAATATTAACATCATTAACAAAATAGTAAACAAAAAGTAAACAAAGCACTGTCAGTTTCTAACACACACACACTCCACACTCCCACAACTCATGATCTCTCTCTATTCAGCTCATTAAAATACACATACACATAGTGCTTCTGAAGATTCCTCAGGCTGGAGGTGGGGCAGGACAGGTGAAACCAATCACCCCATAATGACAAACAGAGCCTCTCTTCTCACAGTTCTTCCTCTGGAAACCGCTCTCTTATAAAGGCTCTAGGGCTGGAGGTGGTATAAGGCAAGTGGCCTTATATTTAATCATCTAAACATGTTCTAAGGTATTATAAAAGTGAATGTTGAAAAATACTGCACATTAAGGTAAGTCTACAGACTTTTTTGGTCATGTTCAACTGCAAGTAGTTCATAGCTGAATTAGTTTTAAGTCTGCTCTGGTTTTATCATTCCTTTAAAAATAAAAGGCTAATACACTATTTTTATAAGAGCACCTCCTGGGAATTGTTCTGCAAACGTATCACCATAGTACTCTTGCTTATCTGTTAGAAACCAGAAAGGATAATTTAACCAACCTATCCACTTTCAGCACAAGTTCACTAAGATATTATTGCTGGCAAAAGCATGTCAAGGACACATATTTAGCCATTTTTTTGATAGAAAAAAATGAAATATGTGCACAGTATTTACATACTTATATAGCAAGCAACCAGATCTTCACACTCGGTTTCTATAGACACAGGTGTGCAGAGAATATAAGGAAAATGAGCAGTCAAGCAGGAACATTTGAGTAATCAAGTCACCTCTGTTGGAAACCGTGCCATACAATTTATCTCTCCTCTTTCTTTATTAAGCCACAAGAAAGAATTGGATGAAATCTGTTCCCTCCCAGCCGTTCCATTTAGATCTGAATACTTTGCATCACTCTGCCAAATGGAGGGTTTTAATTGTTTGGTGGTAGGTCTACAGTGTGTTCATACTTGCAAAGTGGTGTTATATGGCAGTCAGGGTTATGATAACACACTGAATTTAAATGTGTAGCTTTTCTACATCTGACTGAATATCTAAGCTGTTAAGGCTATGTATCCCCCCCACTCCCAAATGCAATATTGTCTGTTAATTCAGCACAAGATCACAATGGTTATTTTCCTGCTCCAATGTTTTAATTTTTTACAATTGAGTATGTTATTTGGGCAAAGTGCCATGCAATTTTCACATTTCCTCTCAATATAATACAGCTTTCAGAATTGCTTTTAGCAACTGAATACAGTGCAGTTGGCTTAACAAAGATGCACTGGTGAATAGAAAGGATGAACAATTAACAGAAAGGGCTTCCCAGGGAGCTTAAAAAAAAAGGATTGTCACTTATTGTTTAGATGTCTATTAAAGTTAGTGACTCTTTCAAAGTTAACAAGAGACTCACACGCCTAGCATAAATTGAATAACAAGACAAATAAGGTTCCTGTAATTTTTTAGCAACAATGAGCCCCTATAGCCTACCTACCTTGTTATATTATCTCCTTGAGTGCAGTATTGCAGCTGTAGTGGTGAGCACTATACCGTATTTATAGAAGGTTGTTTGGTTTCTTCATCGTCTTTTACTTTCACTGATGGCAACACAGTTACACAATATATTGTCCCCACTCTTCTGTTGGTGAAAGTGTGATTTCATTGCATTTCATAAAGGGCTTTTAATGTAATACAATGAAAGCACTTTTGTTTATGTTGGGTGCCAGGTAGCTACCAGGCTAAATGCAAGGTTCTGGTTCTGGTGTATAAAGCTATATACAGCTTGGGATGAAGATATCTCAAAGATCGCCTCACCCCTTATTTTTATCCAGTCAGTCACAGTGCTCTGAGGTGAGAGCTTCTGACAGATATAATCTTATCAGGAGGTCTGTTCTCCAGCTCAGCTGGCTAGAGCGTGGTGCTGATAACGCCAAGGTTGCAGGTTCAATCCCCATGTGGGACAGCTGTATAGTCCTGGACTAGATGATCCTCATTCTTCCAGATCTGCAATTCTATGATTCTGCACATTATAGGAATCAGGCCTTTAGTGTTGTGGCACCAGCCCTTTGGAATGCCTTCCACTTAAATATCAGACAGGAGCCATCTCAGTTGCCTTTTTTGTGCCTTCATGAGATATTCTTCTTTCAACAAGCCTTTTATGTTGAAATCTTTCCCAGTCTGCATCTGTGTTGGAATTGCTTTTAAGATGTTTTCATTATTTTATCACTTGTTGCTTGTCACCCTGGGCTTCTTTGGGG